TGGCCTGGGAAGGGCCTTATGTTTTACACTGACTTCGCGAATGGGTCTGGAGATGGGTAAAAACAATGCCAAAGGCCTTGCTCACCTGAACAAGACTCTCCCACTGCCTTCCACACCCTTCTCCACAGCACGGGAGACGCAGATAGCTACCAACATCTATTTCATAGCCAGTCAGTCAGCTTTTCCTCAGCCTGCCTGGTCTCCATCAAATGTTCACCTGGACACTTGTTAAAAAAAAAAATCTGGGCCTTGGCTGGCAATGCAGCTTAGTGGTAGAATGCTTGCCTAGAATGCATGAAGCCCTGGGTTCGATTCCTCAGTACCACATACACAGCTGCGGCTCAAGTGGTAGAGTGCTAGCCTTGAGCTGAAGAGCTCAGGGACAGCGCCCAGGCCCAGAGTTCAGGCCCCACAAGTGACCAAAAAAAAATGTCTGGAGCAACAGCCCTGAGATGAAGCATCTCACCTGAGCCCTGGGATTAGGCAAGCCCGAGCAGCCTCAGTGCCTCCCGTCCCCACCCACACTCTGGCCCCTGTGCCCTTTGGCCTCGCCATGCGAATGTATGGTTTTGACTGACACACCCATGACGGCACCTCTTCCTGTGCTCACTGGTCATTCTCCATCTTACTTGGAGAAGTTGCCTGCCCTGATCTACCCATTGCTGGCTGGAGTCTTTCAATACTGTATTTCTCTTGGTGACACTTCCAGGACTGGAAGTAGTGACAAGCCTGTCTCCCTCACACTGAGACCTGTGCTTCTTGTGCTTACCCCAAAGGTGCTGATCAGAAGAACCTGCCCCCCAAAGTGCCCATAACTCCCATGCCACAGTACTCCATCATGGAGACCCCAGTACTGAAGAAGGAACTGGACAGGTGGGTGTCTTTCAGCACTTTCTAATACTTGGGTCTTTTCCATCCTGTGCATAATTGGGCCTGGAAAGCCTGGAGTCAGAAGGTCCAGCGCATGGCCCTGCAGTGGGCTGTGCGTGGGAGGGAAGTCCTACAGTCTGTCTCTAGGGAGCATGTGGCTGGGGCAGGGACCCGCCTGGCTTTCTGCATTCTGTTTCCAGGTTATTTGACCCCATGAAGCCAACAAATGAGACTTAGGTCTCCTCTGGGAAACAGGTCTCCATGCTCTCCCCTGGGTGGAAGTGGGACTGTAGCCACACAGTGTTTAAGTGAACACTGCTCTGTTTCTCTGTGCAGATTTGGAGTCCGCCCATTGCCCAAACGCCAGATGGTTCTAAAACTAAAGGAGATTTTCCAATATACACACCAGACCCTGGAGTCAGAATCTGAGGATGAGATCCAGCCCTCCCAGGTGCCCCCTGAGGTGCCTTCCAGCCAGACCCTCACCACTGACACCGACAAGCCTTTGAGCGCCAGAGGCCACACCCAGCTCAAGGCATCCCTGAGTCCTGGGACCCAAAGGTCCAAGGGGCCTACGAAGACCAAGGGCCCCCAACCTTGTGTGCTGCAGCCCGATGAAAGCATCCCACTCCTGAGCAGGTCACCAGCCCGTGGGCCACCTCCAGCCTCTCCAGGTCCTGCCGGTGACACCCAGTTCCTAGGCTCCCAGGAGTCAGTGGCCACCTCCGTGGACAGCAGTGACAGCTCCTTTAGCTCACAAAGGTAACCAGACGGAGGCCACAGGTCAGCACCACTCGATATCCTCTGAGCAGCGGCAGTGGGGCTGAGAGGGTGTCAGCCGAAGTCCAGGAGCCCAGTGACTTCTAGGCTTGAGCTGTTAGAAACCCAGGTGATTAGAAAGCCATTTCCCTCCCTGCAGCAGGCCCTGTCCCACCCTGGCTCTCCAGCTGAGGAGGAACTCCAGCCAGCCAGCTGCAGAGCTGGGGGTTGGCCCTGCCATGTGCCAGGTTCCACCGGGCCATAAAAGCTCCCTCTGTCAAACCTGCCCTTTGTCCAAGGGGTATCGCAAAATGTCATCTGTTCTTTCCAGTTCTTCCTGCGAATTCGGAGCAACCCTTGAGTCTGCAGGGGAAGGGGAGGAGCTGAGCGCGTCGCAGGCAGCCATCCAGACAGCAGACATGGAGGCGGCACTGCGCCGCTACGTCCGCTCTAGGCCGGACCTGTACCAGAAGGTGCTGAAGTACCAGCCCCTGGAGCTGGCGGAGCTGCAGGCGGAGCTGAAGCGGGATGGCATCCACATAGCCACAACCAAGCTGCTGGACATCCTGGACACCCAGTGCATCACCTTCACCACCGCTGCAGCCCGGAAGGAGAAGCTCAAGAAGAGAGGGCAGCAGCGCATGGGCAGGAAGAGAAAGGAGCGGAACTAACAGGCCCCCTCCCCCCCACTCCGATCCGCTCCAGTCCACGGCCGTCTGTGTGAGAGCCTTGGAGCCCGCGGGGGTCAGGCCTCCACAGGCATGTCGCCCTCAAACATCAGCCTGGGCCTGTACAACAGACGTGCCTGCACCCTTCCCTCTGCTCTCCACCAGCGGGGCCATTCTTCCCACTGCCTGTAGGGTCTGACCCTCCCTCAGTCGCACAGCGTGTCTCCCCCTAGCCCAGCAGAGTCTCCCCCCATGTGTTCACGAGGTCTGACTGCTCCCCAAATGTCAGGGTCGCTAGGCCCAAGCACAACTGTCCCAGAGTGCACCGAGGTGGACGTCAGGTCCAGCTGTCTGCCCAGCTCGGCGGCACTCAGGCTAATCTCAGCCACCACCAGCAGACCAGGTGGGCGCGCCTCTCACAGCCACACCCAGGTGCTGCTCCTCCTGGTGTCCCTCCCAGACACCTGTCATCACCAGCAGTCTCCAGATGGGACAGGGACCAGGGCTCAAGTCTGAAACCTCCCCAACAGACATGGTGAGTGGCAGCGGGTTCCACCCACCTGTGTTAAAGCTGTGGCCCAGAAACAGTATGGAACACACAGAGAAGGTTGGCCTCCTCATCCTGCGTATGACCTCATCTTAAATACAGTGCAGTTGGTTTTTTATGATGTGCAATAAAACAAAGAAGGCTTTATAGAAATGTAGATACGTGTTCCAGTAAAGTCACTAGTGATGCAGGCCACGAGTTCGATGGCTGCTGATTCTCCATTTCTCTCTGTTCATTTCTCATGTGCATTCCCTGTCCCCTGTCCCCACACCAGGTGACCCCGCGAGAGGCACTGAGCCCGACCCCCACTGCTCAACAGTGTCACCAGCACAGGCGGGCCTCTCCAGATCCAGTGGGATCCCTTTTTTCTGATATTTATAACATTCCCCAACCATACAAAGTTATGGATATGGCAGATGGTCCAGGCGGCCTGCAGGAGGCGCACGTGTGTGCCAACTTTCCCCAGACCCTGAGCCCTCTGCCATGCGGCATGTGCGGCTTGTCCAGGAGAGCACCAGCTCCTTCCACAGAAGCTGCTCAGCCCAGAGAGCAGGCTGCAGAGCTGCCTCTGGGCACCTGCAGCAAGGCTGGAGAAGCCAAGTGGGCCCAGCTGCTCGGTGGATGAGGCGGGAGGAGGAGCTCCCTTCCAGAAGCTGGGGAATTCGCCTAAGAAAGAACCACACCCTGCAGCAGAACTGGTGTTCGTAGGACACAACCTGATCCTCCATACCTCACTGTGACTTGACCAGCCCTCTGGCCTGTCTACTTCCTGTGTGTGGCCCAGCCCTGGCTACGGCCTGGCCTTGTCCCATGGAAACAGCCAAAAGAGAAACACAAGCTTAGCTTGGGCAAGCAGCCACCGGCCCAGCCAAGGGAGCAAAGGCCTGGACCCTGGGGTCTGTATCTGACGCCACACTGACTGCACCGCTGGTGGACAGAAAGCCGAGAGTGAGAGCTACTCTTCACATGCATGTGCGCATGCACACACCACACACATTACCAACGCACACACACACCAGGAGAACGGCCCGCCTACTTCAGCCTGCTTAGTGAAAATACAGATCAGTCCTGAGGGCCAACGGACAGTCCCATGATATAGGGATGGGAGGAGGTTGGGTCTGGAAGGTTCCATGGAAGAGGCTTGGCATCGGTCTGTGGGAACCAGTGAGCCTCTCTGGCCTGTTGCAGATCACAGACTCATTCGACCCCTGTGGTTTTCAACATCCTGTGGGCGCCTGGCTTCAGACACCGTTGCACCCCACAGCTGAGGCTCCGCCTGCCAGGAGCCTCACCAGGCTTCTTGAGGGGCCACTGTCTGTCCCACCAGCACCCAACAAGTTTTGGGGTACTCGGAAAGCACAGCTGGAGGGGAGGGAGACAACGGCTCCTGAAATAGCGTTTCTGACACTGGGCTGTTTAAACCCACAGGTTTCTTTGCTGCCCACTCCGTTTTTAAGACAGGATCTCACTACATCGCCCAGGCTGGCCTGGCACTTGCAGTACAGAACAGACTGGCCTCAAACTGAAAATCCTCCTGGCCCAGTCTCCCGAGTGCCGAGGTGACAGGCAGGCCCCAAACAGCATCTCCAGTGGGCTACCTGAGGTTCCCCCACATCCATCACACGGGAGGAGGGTTGACAGCAATCCCACGTGGAGTCCCACAGCTCTCTGAACTCCCCAGGCTCCCGCTCTTCAACTGGACTCCCCTTTGCTTGCTGGGGAAAGTTCACACCGGAGGCACCCCTTGTTCCTTGACTCCTACCTCCCCCAGCGACCACGTCGTGAGGTGCTCCCTATCACTGAAAGGTGCTCCACACACTGGCTTTGTCGTGACTTTTCTGTGTTGTTCTGTCTGGACATGTTCTCACCCCTCACAACCCCCTTCCCTGTCAGTGCAGACACCTGCTGAGCCCCCCAACACGCCCAGATACAGTGACTTCCTGACTGCTGTAAATAGCCACACTCTACCGTTTCACAACTCAGGGGACCAGTCTTCAGGTGATGTGGAGCCACAGGAAGTCACTGCGGGGCGAGCTGGGCTAGATGCTCACTTGGTTCCCCTGCCCGCCCACCTAAAAGCGACCCTCTGCAGATGGTGCCTGTCTTCCTTGGTGACGGGGAGGTGGCAGGTCTGCAGCTTTGGCACTGTACCACGTTCTCCTGAGCATCACGTCTGAAGGGATGCTCAGTCTCAGAACCCCAATGTGGCTCCCCCCCGACACTTGGGGTGATGACAAAGCCAGAGACGAGCCCAAGGAAACAGCTCATTGATCTGTCTGGGAGGTGGTTGGCTTTTGAAATCAGACAGGAAGGAAGGTTGAGGTGGAGGCCGTACAGGAAGAGGTGAGGAGCTGGAGCTGCACTGACAGCCGGGGTGTGATGAGGGGGTAGAGGTGGCGAGTCTGTCACCCCCTGGCCCGAGAGCGGTCATCCTGGTCAGGCACCTTGATCCCTTCAGACAGGCTTCTCAGACCTGGGCACCGCCCAGAGCCTGGGAGCCCCCATCTGCCGGAGCAGGGCCAAGCTCAGGAACGTGGACATGAGTCCCCAGGCCCCCCAGTCTTCACATCCTTGTAACAGCATCAAGGCCACAGAGGTAAGCAGAGCCTGAGCCTTAATAGGGACAGGGGAGGGAGAAGGGGCAGCTGGCAGGAAGATGGAGACCTTTCTGGCCTGAGCTTCTCTGGGCAGGGAGGGAAACTAGAGGAAGCTTTCCTTTGGGTGCTGGAGCTGCTGGAGCTACAGGGGCTCACAGCATGGACTGAACTAACATAGGCCCCAGGATGGGCCCCAGGGACAAAGCCCAGCACCCAGGTACCAGTGACAGGGTATAAGGACAGGACTAGGCAGGCCAGGCTCCATCCCCACCCTCCACGCCTGACGTGGGACCCCAAGCAGGCCAGTTACTGCTCTGCTTGGTTGCCCACCTGTAAATGGAGGAAACAGCCCCTGCCCCAAAGGTAAAGGGTGTGTGTGTCAAGGTCCAGTTTACAGCTGCCATCCCATGTCACCTGGTGTCAGTGCATGTCCCCCACCCCCACCCCCAGGGCTCCCTGCCACACCCCTGAGCAGGACGAGGCTCCATGCAAGAGGCCTGCTGGGAACAGGCGCCGCACAGGGCTAGTGCAGGGTGGCCACGGGGTATTGGCTACAGTGCCTTCCTGGGGCAGGCTTCTGGGCCTCAGGGCTTCTTCTCTTGGGGGTACGAGCCTCCCTGAGCCTGGGCCTGCCCCTCACCATCCCGAGCTGCAGGCTGGGCTCCCCAGGTTGGGCCTGCCCCTCACCAGGATGTCTCAGGGACAAGTGTGACTTCCTCAGTGGGCTCAGTGGCCACCTCAAGATGGCTGCTCACTGAATCCCCAGACCCAGGGAGCGGGACAAAGGCAAGGAATCAGGAGAGAGGAGAATCTAAGAAGCTGTGGCCAAACCTGGCTGCTAGTGATCGACACTGTAATCCTAGCTACTCAGGAGGCTGAGACCTGAGGACAGAAAAGGCTATGGGGCTTGTATCTCCAATAAACCACCAAAAAGCCAGAAACAGAGCTTTGTATATATCATATATCCAAGGGACACACATACTAAAAAAAAAAAATGTGGTTTGTCTGAGTAAAATTTCACAAGTGTCCTTGTATTTTTTATTTCTATTTTCATTTCATTTTGTTTACTTATTTATTTGCCAGTCCTGGGGCTTGAACTCAGGGCCTGGGCACTGTCTCTGAGCCTCTTTGTGCACAAGGCTAGCACCCTACCACTTGAACTACACCACCACTTCCTGTTTTTGAGTGGTTAATTGGAGGTAAGAGTCTCACAGGTACTTTTCTGCCTGTGATGGCTTTGGACCATGATCCTTAGATCTCAGCCTTCTGAGTAACTAGGCGTGAGCCACCAGTGCGTGACTTGTGTCCTTGTATTTTAAGTTGCTAAATTTGGAAACCCTCAATCTAAGAAGGTAGGGAAGAAAGATGTACAACTGGTTAGGAGGAGTACTGACCCCTCCCTGGGGGTCTCATAGGGCTAGGGGCCCATTCCCAGGCTCAAGGCTCGACCACGTCCACCTGTTCATCCTCCTGTTAGTCCAGTCCCTCACCATGGATTTTTTTTTTAATGGTGTCGCCTGTCTGCAATCCTAGCTCTTAGAGGTTGAGGCAGGAGGATCTGAGTTCAATGCTAGCTTAGGCTACATAGCAAAACCCTGTCTCAGGAAGAAAAAAAAACAAAACAAGCAAAGACAACAAAGAGTTGAGCGCCATACAATGATCATATGATGCAACAGTCCCACTCTGGGAAAAGGGAGAACAGGGTCTCCAAGTGATAGTTAGCTATATAACCATGCTCACGGCAGCATAGTTCACCAGACGCCAAAGGTAGAAACCACCCAAGGTTCCATCACTGGATGTAAACGTGTCTATACACACAATGGGATACTTCAGTTGTAAAAAGGGAGGAAGCACTGGCCTGGACACAAGACAGACACCAAAAGATAAATACCCTCACACTGCACCCAGGAAGTCCCTAGAACAGTCAAACTCACACAGACAGAAAGCAGAACGGTAGTTAGAAGCATTCTGGTATGAGTGTCTCAGTAGGCATGAGTGCTCATTTCTGTCGGGATTCAGGAGACCAGCGGCTTGTCCCAGAGAATGCACATCGTATTACTAGAGGACTTGCTGGCTGGGAAGGGCAGGGCTGGTGCTTAGAAGAATAAAAGAGTGAGAAGAGCCGGAAGGATGTTGCAGAAATATAGTGAGGGCGTTGTTGTCCGGCCCCATTTCTAGCAATCCCAGGCTATCTCAGGCACTGGCTAATTTGCTCAATGGCTGGGGAGTGCTAGTTACTTCTAACTCAATGTTCTAACATTTCCACGCCACATTAAAAAGCCAGGGATCCCCAATAAAATCCAAAGCCAGGGAGTCTGTTGGCATCAAGCGTGTTGTTAGCTAAATGTTGGGCAGAGAGAAACTAATTGCCCAGGCCCGGCTGGGCCAGGGATTGAACCCAGGGCCTTGTACTTGCTAGGCAAATACTTTGTCTAGAGCCCTTTTTAAAAACTTTATTTTGAGAGAGGATCTCAATAAGTTGCCCTGGCTGGCCTGTCTTTACCTCCTGAATAGCTGGGATTACAGAATGAAACACCATACCCGGCTTTTCATCTGAGTCATTTTTAAACACAGCGTGGCCACCAGTGCAGTGGGCCACGTGACCCTGTGTTTTCTTTCATAGAACCATAGACAGGTGGCTGACCCTTCCCTGAGTCTCTGGGGCCTGCTGGAGGAACGGCTGTGCCCTCTGTGCCTGGTCAGGAGGGACAGAGGGTGGACAGGCTCAGGGAGCTGCAGACAGAGTGGCTGATCTTGGCAAGGGAAGCACTGGGACTGGGGCAGGTGGAACCGCGACACAGCTTTGCCACTCTGTGTCTCTGCATTGGCACACAGCAAACAGGGTTCCCCGCAGCCCAGAAACCCCGGGCTTCCAGGACAGCCCAGGAAAGCTAAGGGCAGAGCCTCCCTCCCTTCCCTCTCCTCTACCTTTCCTAACTAAACTCTTCACATCCTAGAGGTTTAGGTTTACAGGAAGAAAAAAAATGATGATGAAGTACAGAGTTCCCATCCACCTCTGCTTCCTCCAGAGACTCCACGCAACCACTCCAAACCCCATTTACACCAGGGCTCCCTCTTGCCATTTGGACATTCTATGGGCTGGACACGTGCACAGCACATTTGCTCCATTACAGTGTCAAGGAATGGTCTCCTTAACACCGTTCTTTTTCCAGAATGTACTTCACCTGGAGAAGCATGCACTCTATTTCCTTCCAGACTGGCAATTTCATTCCTCCCTCCTTTTGAAAAAGTCTACTCATACCCTTACCACCGTTTCCAGGTCACAAATGACACCAATGTGCAGAGTGGTGACACACCCCACCCAGGGTCACCGGGCGGGTAAGTGGCAGAGCCAAGGTCTGAGCCAGAACCCCAGGCCTGGTCCCCTGGGCCCCTGCATCCATGTGACAGTTCTCACTGTCCAGGACCAAAAAGCTCTTGGAGCTTCATCTAAGAGGCAAGCCGGTGGTCCACCCATGGCTGGGGAGGGAAGTGGGGTCCTGCCCTGCTCTCGGGGCTCACCCACCTGTCAGGCTGCTGTACAGAGGCATGGCAGGCAGCAGGTCTGGGTCCTGTCTTCACAGTTCCTGGTCATAATCCGAGACTCCATGAGGAAGCAGGAGATGCGGTCAGGTGGGGAGGCCAACCAGATCCATGGTGCCAGCTCCCCGGCTGAGCAGGTCAAGGCCCTCGTGGACTTGCTGGCTGGGAAAGGGAGTCAGCTTGGTCAGAACCTGCCAGCCCCGGACAGGACGCCGGACTCCCCCCAGGCACCCCACAGCAATGGTAAGGCCAGCCTGGGAGGCCAGGGGAAGGGCACACAGGGACCTCCTTGCCTTGCTTGTGGCCCTCACCTGCCCTGCTCTCTGGCCTGCTGGCCTGCAGACTCTAGGATACAGAGGCACCAGGAGGCTCTGCTGAGCAGGACAGGAAGCGGCCAGGAGCTGGGCGGCTCTTCACACCGGCTGGCTAGCCTCCTGCTGGTGGATGGCCTGACAGACCTACAGCTAAGGGAACATGACTTCACACAGGTAGAAGCCATGCGTGGGGGCCGGCGCCCGGCCAGGACCATCCCCCTTGACAGGCTCTTCCTGCCTCTGTCCCGAGTGTCCATCCCACCCCGGATCTCCATCACTGTCGGCGTGGCTGGCATGGGCAAGACCACCCTGGTGAGGCATTTTGTGCGCCTCTGGGCCCGGGGACAGGTGGGCAAGGACTTCTCGCTGGTGCTGCCCCTGACCTTCCGGGACCTCAACACCCATGAGAAGCTTTCTGCAGACAGACTCGTCTGCTCTGCCTTCCCAAACGCCGGGGAGGCTGGGCTGGCAGCCATGGCCCCAGCCAGGGTCCTCTTGGTCCTGGATGGCTTAGACGAGTGCAAGACACCCCTGGATTTCTCCAACACCATGGCCTGCACGGACCCAAAGAAGGACATCCAAGTGGACCACCTGATTACCAACATCATCCGAGGCAACCTTTTTCCAGATGTTTCCGTGTGGATCACCTCACGCCCTAGTGCAGCTGGGCAGATCCCAGGAGGCCTCATAGACAGGATGACAGAGATCCGGGGCTTTACCAGGGAAGAGATCCAGGCGTGTCTGAAGCAGACCTTCCCCGAGGACCAGACCCTCCTGGGCCAGGTCCTGAGCCAGGTGCAGACGGACAGGGCCTTGTATGTGATGTGTACCGTCCCGGCATTTTGCAAGCTCACTGGGGTGGCGCTGGGTCACGTGTACCGCAGCAGACTGGCACTCCACAACGTGGGGCTGGGGCCCCCGCAGACCTTGTGTGAACTCTACTCTTGGTACTTCAGGATGGCTCTCGGCGGGGAGGGCCAGGAAAAGGGCAAGGGGAACCCACGGATCGAGCAGGTAGCCCACAGTGCTCGCAAGGTGGTAGGGACCTTGGGTCGGCTGGCCTTCCATGGGCTGCTCAAGAAGAAGTATGTGTTTTATGAGCAAGACATGAAGGCATTCGGTGTGGACCTCGCCCTGCTGCAGGGCACCCTGTGTGGCTGCTTCCTGCAGCAGGAGGAGACACTAACATCCTCTGTGGCCTACTGTTTCAACCACTTGTCCCTGCAGGAGTTTGTGGCAGCTACCTATTACTACAGTGCATCCAAGAGGGCCATCTTTGATCTCTTCACCGAGAGTGGCATGTCATGGCCCAGGCTGGGTTTCCTGGCGCATTTCAGGAGCGCAGCCCAGCGGGCTATGCAGGCTGAGGATGGAAGGCTGGACGTATTCCTGCGCTTCCTCGCAGGCCTCTTGTCTCCACGGGTCAATACCCTGCTGGCCAGCTCTCTGCTGCTGGCCCAAGGCGAGCACCAGGCCTACCACGCCCAGGTGGCCGAGCTCCTACAGGGGTGCCTGCACCCCAACACTGCAGTCTGTGCTCGCTCAGTCAATATCCTGCATTGCCTGCATGAGCTGCAACACACAGAGCTGGCCCGCAGCGTGGAAGAGGCCTTGCAGAACGGGGCCCTGGCCAAGCTGACTGGCCCCAAACACTGGGCTGCCTTGGCCTACCTCTTGCAAGTGTCGGACACCTGTTCCCGAGAGATTAACCTGTCCCTGTGCCTGGGACAGGGAGTTTTCCAGAGTCTGCTGCCCCAGCTTCTCTACTGCCAGAGCCTCAGGTGAGGAAACGGGGTACAGGGTGCATGGGAGAGTGCAGACAGACCCAGAACGGCTACTGCTCTGCTGCCTACAGCAGAGTTCTCAAAGCTGGGTGCCGATACCACAGCACCTCCCTTTCTCACAGTTCTTGGGGCCACAAAACAGAAGTCAAGACATCAGCATCTGAAGGGCCCTTGGAGGAGGCCCCTCCTGCCCTTCTAGATGTGAGCCAGGCAATCCTTGCGATCGCATGTCTTTGGTTTGTAACTGTCTCCCACCAGCCCTGGCCTCACTGTCACATGGTGGGGTGTTGTCAGCCTCTCAGGGCCCTGACCCCCCCTAGGACACCACCACACTGGGTTAGAGGCCTTCTGAGTGTCTGCCAGTGTGATGTCTGCTTAATGAATATGGAAGGGCCCTACTCTGGATAACATCACATTCCTGAGGAACTAGGGGTTAGCACTTCAATCTGCCCCCTTTTTATGTCCATCGTGGGGCTTGAACTCTGGGCCTGGGTGCTATCCCTCAGCTCTTCAGCTCAAGGCTAGTACTCTACCACTTGAGCCAAGTGCCACCTCTGGTTTTCTGAGTGGCTAATTGGAGATAAAACTCTCATTGATTTTTCCTGTCCAGGCTGGCTTTGAACTGTGATCCTCAGGTCTCAGCCTCCTGAGTAGCTAGGATTAGGTGTGAGCCACCAGCACCCATCTTTAATCTGCCCTTTTTGAAGACATAATCCAACCCCATGAGACCCTGGGAGCCATGCAGTGCTGACAGAAGCTTTGCCTACAGACTGGGCTGTCAGCCCATGCTCTGTCCACTGCTCCGGACCTTAGCAAGTAGGGAGGAAATATGTAGGGATGAGAGTCATTCAGGACCGGAGAGCAGTTTACAAAGCAGAGCTGGGAAATGGGGACCCACAGAGGTGGACGGTGTTCAGGGTTGTTGCTACCCCAGGAGGAAGGCCAGAACTTACAGGCACCCTGTGGGGGTGAAGGCGTAGATCAGAGGAGGAGAGGGGTCCCCGCCCTGCGTGTGGATGGCGGGAGCCTTCATTGTCACTGCTTCTCCTTGGCCAGGCTGGACAATAACCAGTTCCAGGACCCCATGATGGAGTTGCTGGGCAGCGTGCTGAGTGGGAAAGACTGTCGCATTCAGAAGATCAGGTAACGCTAACCCCGGAGACCCACCTGTGTCATGGGTCCAGACCGCCTCTCCCATCATCCTCTCTGCTCATCCAGCCGGGGCCATCCTCAAGGAGAGGTAGTGTGTGACTCAGGAGACAGTCTGCTAATTTCTGCCCTCTCGGAAAAAGTGCCACCTGTAAGAGCAGAGAAGGCACCTGGTGAGGCTCAGACGGTGGCACACACAGGAGGGTGTCTCTAAGCACTGCAAGTGCGGCCATGGTGCATGGAGATTTTAGCATATAGAACTTTTTATTCTGCATGGTAGCGTTCAGAAGTTATTCTGAACAAAGAAAACATTGCTCCTATGGCCATGTGCTCTTTCCCCGCCCCCTTAAGGTTGGCCTTCAATGCCATGTTCCTGTTTGCAATGTCCAAGTCATTCATTCTTTAGAAAATACACATTAGGACTGAAAATGTGGCTTAGTGGGAGAGTGCTAGTCTTGAGCAAAAGAGTCTTAAGGACAGCGCCTAGGCCAGGACTGGCAAAAAACCCCCACAAATATACTATATATAACTGCTGATAAGAAAACATTTGTAAAACATTATACAAAAAGTCTGTCTGAAACGTAAGAATATTTATTTAGAAGGATGAATGGTCTTAAAAAACTGGTATCAGCCGGGTGCTGGTGGCTCACGCCTGTAATCCTAGCTACTCAGGAGGCTGAGATCTGAGGATCGCGGTTCAAAGCCAGCCCGGGCAGGAGAGACCGTGAGACTCCTATCTCCAATAAACCACCAGAAAACCGGAAGTGGCGCTGTAGCTCAAGTGGTAGAGCACTCGCCTTGAGCTGAAGAGCTGAGGGACAGCACCCAGGCCCAGAGTTCAAGCCCCACGACCGACAAAAAAAAAAAAAAACTGGTATCAGGGGCTGGGAAGGTGGCTCAGTGGTAGAGCGCTTGCCTTGCATGCCTGAGGCCCTGGGTTTGATTCCTCAGCACCACATAAGAAAAAAGAATAAAAAGCCAGAAGTGGCGCTAAAAAAAAAAAACTGGTATCAATTAGTTGTACAAGGGGACTTGGTGTTCACAAAGCGATTTATGAATACCATACATCTTGATCATAACTGCCCCTCTACCATTCTTCCTTCTCTTCAGGGAGGGCAAGGGCTTCCTCAGATACCCGAATGACCACTCCTCTCTTTTTTTCTTGAGCAGCCTAGCTGAGAACCAGATCAGTAACAAAGGGGCCAAAGCTCTGGCCAGATCTCTGCTGGTCAACAGAAGCCTGACTGCTTTGGAGTAAGTAGACAGCAGAATTCACAGGAATGAGGAGTTCTGCGCCTGTAGTTTTATCATCATTCCCTGGCTCCCCAGAGTCGGTCCACGGTAGGCTCCGGGCATGCTATCCTCTTCTGTTTAAAGTAGTTCCAAGTTCCTAGCTTCTCCAGACTATATGACTTTCTTTTCTATATGCCAGCCGATCGAACAAGGCCATCCCTCCTCATCCCATGAAGAACACAGCTCTCAACCTTCAACCTAGAATCACCATTCCCTTCATCTCCACACTCTTACGCCCACTGGACTGTCAGGGCCTGTTCCCTATTCCTCATCACCTGGAGGGTGTAGACACTCCTTCCTTGCTTACCTGTGTAAGAATCTATCCTGGGCCAACTAAACATGAACTCTGAAGCCCTCATCTAGGGCTTCAAGGATCACAGATTTAAAAGTCTGTGTGATTGCAGTCTCTTCCCTCCTGCTCTACCTGGAAGTCATTTTTCTCACTTGCTTCTGCCAGCCTTCGCAGCAACGCCATCGGACCACAGGGGGCCAAGGCGCTGGCCGACGCGCTGAGGATTAACCGCACCCTAGCCTCTCTGAGGTAATACACCCTGCTCCCTGCGCCCCAAAAGGACCCAGAAAACTGGTGCCTCTAGAGCCACCTGTGGGATGGGAGGTGATTCCAAATGGGGGCCCTGGGCCCCAGATACCACCTCACTGGGGACCCAGGCTAACATCCTAAGCTAGTTTCAAGTTCCAGCTCTTTCTTCCTCTTTGTACCTCTACGAATCCCCACAGTCATGGTGTTTCCCAAGATACTGAAAAGCCCACCTCCATGGCGAAGCTGGCGTGGTTGGCTGTCTTTGAGGAGCCTGTGGCTGTATCCAGTCCATTAAGCCGGCAGTGTTTTTGTGTTCTCTTGTTTTACTTCAATTTATTTGTTCTTGAGGTGAAACTCACAGCATGTAAAATGTTGCCTTTTAAGTACACTGGCATTTAGTGCATTCACAATGCTGTGCACCCGTCAGCTTCCATTCCAAAGCATCTGGACACTGGCACAGGCCACCTTGCATCCAGCACCAGGTCCTTCCCAGCCCTGATGACCCATCTGCTTCCCGACCAACCGTGGACATTTCATACAAAGGGAATTTTCCAGGAAGACCCTTTGTGTCGCTCTTCCTCATTCCTCACCACGTTCCCGAGGTCTGTCCACACTGCATCATGTTATCAGTGTCTCATTCCATTTAATGACTGGAGTGTTTGTCGTATAGACGGAGAGCAGTTTGTTTATCCTTCCATCCAGTGGTGGACGTTTTGTCTGTCTCCACTATGAGCAATGCAGCTATATTTGTGTATAAAGTATTCAAGTACTTGTTTTCAACTCTTTTGGGTATAGACCAAGGAATGGAATTACTGGGTCACAAATCTGACCTGCTGAGGAACTGCCAAACCATCTTCCATACACGCTGGACCATTTCCATTCCTACCTGCAGGGTGAGGGTTCCAATATCTCTACATCTTCACCAATACCTAGGGGCTGTGACTTTTTTTTGGGGGGGAGGGGGGCGGTCAGTCATGGGGCTTGAACACTGGGCCTGGGTGCTGTCCCTGAGCTCTTCAATTTAAGGTTAATGCTCTACCACTTTTGGTCTTCTGGTGCTTAATTGGAGATAAGCGTCTCATGGACTTTCCTGCCCGGGCTGGCTTTGAACCAAGATAATCAGATCCCAGCCTCCTGAGTAGCTAAGATTACAGGCGTGAGTCATGGGTGCCTGGCTGGTGCTGTGGCTCTTAGCTTAGAAAGGACTACTGATGACCTCATCATTGTGCAATCCATACAGCACGGCACCTTCTTCCCAGTTAACAGGCAAGTGCTCACAGACTCAGTGTGTGAGGGCTGACTCTCCTCTCCATGTGGTGGCACAGTCTCTTCTCCACAGGTCATCTGGCTCTCCGCCCGCACCCCTGCAGCACCTTGTAGCATGGAGGCATCCCATTGTAGTGGCATTCATGCCACCAATGAGACTTCTCTTCTGCTCCTTCACTGACACATCCCCTCCTGTGCCCACAGCCTCCAGAGCAACGGGATCAGGGATGAAGGTGCCAAGTGCATGGCTGAGGCCCTGGCCTCCAACCAGACCCTCTGTGTGCTACAGTGAGTCAACTTGCCTCCTCTTTCTTCTTTTCTTCCCTCCCTCTTTTGGCCTCTGCCCGTTTCCTAAAAGAAGGAATGGGTGGGCTGATTCTCAATTCTTCTGACCCACCTGGATGTTCTCTGGAACACACACACACACACACACACATACACACACACACTTTTTTAAATTATTTATATATTTGTTTGTTTGTTTATTGTGTCAGTCTTGGGGCCTGAACTCTGGGCCTGGGCGCTGTCCCTCAGCTCTTCAGCTCAAAGCTAGTGCTCTATCACTTGAGCCACAGCACCACTTCTGGCCTTTTCTGGTTATGTGGTGCTAAGGAATCGAACCCAGGGCCTCATGCATGCTAGGCAAGCACTCTACCACTGAGCCACCTTCCTAGCCCACACACACTTTTTTGACTGAAAATAGGTGGAGGAATTAATTGACAATAAAACCTCTGGCCAATCCAAAGGAGAGGCACCAATAATTGCATTACTGAATACACCTCAGCCAGACTGCAGTGAGCATCACAGACTGCCGCTCATGCAGTTGCGAGGACAAAAAGAACTCTCATCCTTTCCTGAAGCAAAAGGGCCAGACAACACAAGTCCTGAATGTACCAAATAAGTGGGTGGTCACCCATGCCCCTAACTGCTTGAGGTTTAAAACTTCTCTTTTGTGATAAGAAGGTACTTTACAACTTAAGAATCAGGCATCTAGGCTAATTCCTGTACTGGTAGGGAGACAGGAACAGTATATTGCTTTTTCACCTTTTAAGGAAAGACCCAAGACTCAGAAAGATATAAGGCTTAGAAAGGAGCAGCAGGCCAATCGTGCTTTTGAAAAGATAATATATCTCAAAGGGACAGGATGTGCAGCCTGAAGTTTCCTCAAGGAAACAGTCTTAAGAAAAAGGAGGGATCGGGCTGGAAGGTGGCTCAGTGGTAGAGCGCTTGCCTTGCATGCCAGACACCCTGGGTTTGATTCCTCAGCACTACATAAGCAAAAAGAAAAAAAGCCAGAAGTGGCACTGTGGCTCAAGTGGTAGAGTGCTAGCCTTGAGCTGAAGAGCTGAGGGACAGCGCCCAGGCCCAGAGGTCAGGCCCCATGACCGGACCCCCCCCCCCAAAAAAAAAAAAAAAAAAAGGGGGTATCTTTTTCCTTCTAGGAAGATTATACTTTTTAAAGGTTGTTATTTAACATCATATAGGAGGGTCTTTCCCTGTCTCTCCTGTGCCTCTCCCCAGAGAGGTTCTCAAAGCAGAGGCAGACTGCTGGCTGGTCTGAATGGAAGGTAGACTGTTGGGTGAGTGAGCAGCAGACCTGTGCGTGACAGTCCCCACCCATTAGATTCTTGGGAACTACCAGCCCCTTCTATCAGCCCCAGCTGCCCTTGATCCTTATTCTCATGCTCAGCCTTTATGGGACCCCTTCTTACTACAGTAATAAATGGAGGACACCCTAATTTCTCAGACCTCCTCCCCCAGGCCCAGGCTGTCCTTTGCCTGGGTGGCTGTGGCCACTCTGCTGATGTGCCCCTCTCACTTTCACAGTCTACAGAAGAACAGCATTGGGCTCGTGGGAGCCCAACGGATGGCAGATGCCTTGAAGCAGAACAGGACTCTGAAGGAGCTCATGTAAGACATGTTGAAGAGTCAAATTTGTTTTCTCAGTGCCAGCCCCTCTTCAATATTTGTGATTGGATGGACAGAGAGATAGATGAATGGACGAGTAGATAGACGGATGGACAGGTGGGTGGAGAATAGACAGGAATCCTCCTGCCATAGCACCCTCCTAGACAAGGAAAATAGAGATCGAGATTCTCAGGGCTGAGTGAGCCCTGACCTTATATTTACCCAGCTGGAAATGGCTCTTCTTGGCTTTCTTGACATGAAGCAAACAAACACCTCTCAGTATGGCATAATTATTCTGATTCTTGCCTGAGAGGCAAGAAAGACCTGAAGATCTCACTCTCTTACAGGTAGCAGGGAGTCATGTGTACAGATTATAGATGAACAAGATTCAGGCAGAACAAACTGCCATGGGCACCCTTGAAACAGAGATGGCCTTCCATGGTGACTCTAGAAGATGGCTCACCAGCATCTGTCTCTTACAGGCTGTCCAGTAACAGCATTGGTGATGGAGGTGGAAAAACCCTGGCTCAGGCGCTAAAGATGAACCAGGTCCTGCAGAGCTTGGAGTGAGTCTGCTGTCCACCCTTCAGCGGTGACAATTACCCCCGGGTTCTCCATGCAGCTGGTGGTCTGGAGGAGGGCTGTCAGCCAGCACCATTCCCCTACCAGAGCCCCATCAACATGAGCCCGTCTCTGCCTCACCATCAGCCTCATTCTACTCTACCCACCAGCTCCACTTCTCTTGACAGTAAGAGTGGTGGTTGTGTCTAGAATGTTCTGAATGACAGTTGTCTTGAGCACAGGTGGCTGAAGAGAAGCCATGGTGAGGATGGGGGCAGGTGGGTGATTTCTGCACTACTCAGTCTGGATGGTACAGCCACAATGCTTCCCTCTGGGGATGTTTGGAGCCATCTAGGTGGCAAGAGTCTAATCCCTGGGGCTTGTGCTAAGCCCTCCTGCCCCAACCTGACCAGGGGTAGAAGGTGGGGCGATGGAAGAAGAAGGGAGGATGAGAACAGTCCCCTAACTCCCTGTTGAACTCAGTGCCTGTGGTCCCAGGCTGCACGAGGCAGCTCCCTTCCCCACCCCCACCTCCCGGGTCCTGGAGCACCACGCCAAGGGTGCCCCGTCCTCTGTCTGCAGCCTGCAGAGTAATTCCATTAGTGACACGGGAGTGGCAGCGCTGATGGGGGCCCTCTGCACCAACCAGACCCTACTCAGCCTCAAGTAAGTCCTGGCTTTCCTTCCCACTAGGCCATCCCTCTGGCCAGAGAAAATGCGAGTTTGGGACTTGGAAAGAAAGTCTGAAACCAGGAAGCCCGCAATTGGGAAATCTGTAATCAGGGAAAGATTGGTTCTGGAGCCGGGGATTCTGTCCCCTCCCTGCTGTCTCAGGAAGATCAGTATTCTTCCCTTGTTCTGAAGTTTGGGAGGCTTTAAAAAAAAAGCTTATGAGGGGGCTGGGAAGGTGGCTCAGTGGTAGAGCGCTTGCCTTGCATGCATGAGGCCCTGGGTTCGATTCCTCAGCACCACATAAGCAGAAAAAAAAAAAAAAAAAGCTGGAAGTGGAGCTGTGGCTCAAGTGGTAGAGCACTAGCCTTAAGCTGAAGAGCTGAGGGACAGCGCCCAGGTCCAGAGTTCAGGCCCCACGACCAGACCCAAAAAAAAAAAAAAAGCTTATGAAGTGGAGTGGTAGCTAAAGTGGTAGAGTGCTAGCCTTGAGCAAAAAGAACTCAGGGACAGGGCCCAGGCCCTGAATTCAAGCCCCACAACTGACCAAAAAAAAAAAGACAAGCTGGGCACCAGTGGCTCAGCCTGTATCCTAATTACTCGAGAAGCTGAGCTATGAGGATCATGGTTCAAAGCCAGCCTAGGCAGAAAAGTCCATGAGACTCTGATCTCCAATTAACCACCGGAAAACTGGAAGCCCTGCTGTGGCTCAAAGTTGATAGCGCACTAGCCTTGTGTGAAAAAGTTCTGGGTCAGTGCCCAGGCCCTGAGTTCAAATACCATGACCAACCGAAAGAAAAAAAAGAAAAGAAAAGAAAAGGTCTTGTCTCCAACCAGAGGTCTCACTTGCCCAATGGGCAGCTCAGGGTCTTCTCTCTTTCCTCAGCCTTCGAGAAAACTCCATCAGCCTCGAGGGAGCCCAGACCCTGGCTCGTATGCTCCGCATGAACAGCACCCTGCAGCACCTGGAGTACGTGGTGGGGCAGGGGGTGGCCAGAGAAACTGGGCTTCTCAGGCTCACTTGTGCCCCTGGCCACCTGGCTAGTTAGAGTCTAGGTTGGTGAAGGCCAGGCCCTCGGTACCCTCGCCTTCCCGGTGGGAGGAGGGCTGTCTGAGTCCTGGTAGATGGCAGCGGCTCTGGCACAAGCCTCCCCCCAGGGTGGTATAAGTTACATGGGTGAGCATACACAGCCAGGCTCACACCGGGAAAGGGCTGGTGTGGGGCCAGGCCATCGGTGAGTCTCCTTGGCAGCTCCAGAGAGTCCTGGCTGTATGACCTAGTACCACACCAACTGAGCTGAGCCTGGGACAACCTGGGGTGGTTGCCAGGGTCTGGCGTAACACGCCGGAGCACGTGCCTGGCACACCAGATCTCTCCACAGATGTGGGCCAGATACTAACATCGGCACAGGATGGGGAGCAGCTGGGCTCCCACTCACTCGCTCCTACTCCTCACCTCTCAGCCTGGCAGCCAACCTCCTCCACGATGAGGGCGCACAGGCCATCGGAGTGGCAGTAGGGGAAAACCACGCCCTCACATCCCTCCAGTAAGTTCACCACCCCTGCCCCAGCCCACCTACCACTCTGCCGCAGAGCTGCAGGACTATGTCTAAACCACGGGCCCTCAAAACCTGACTCTGGCTGGGTGCTGGTGGCTCACCCCTGTAATCCTAGCTACTCAGGAGGCTGAGATCTGAGGATCGTGCTTCAAAGCCAGCCCGGGCAGGAAAGTCTGTGAGACTCTAATGTCCAATAAACCACTAGAAAACTGGAAGTGGCGCTGTGGCTCAAGTGGTAGAGTTGCCTTGAGCTGAAAAGCTGAGGGACAGCACCCAGGCCCAGAGTTCAAGTCCCAGGACCAAACTGCCCCCCCAAAAAAAACTTGACTGTAGGACACCCCTTTCCAAGGTCCCAGGGGCCTATTTAAGGTTCCCCAACTCCAGAAGCCTCCAGGGCCTGAGGCTGAGCCTCAGGCAGACCCATGTGAGGAGGCTCCGTGCCCGGAGGTGACCCACGCTCCAGGCAGGGGCTATATGAGCTTGCCCCTGTGTCACCACTAACGGAGAGTACACACTGACCCTCTGGGGACTGAGGGGAGCTGAAGGAGTCCTGCCAGGCCTCACCCCACCACACCAGCCTCCTAGAACCTCCAGAGCCTCTGTGGCTCTTCCGGGGCCATGGATCACGTGTGTGTGTCTGCACAGTCTGCAGTGGAACTTCATCCAGGCCGGTGCGGCCAGGGCACTGGGACAAGCTCTCCAGCTCAACGGGAGCCTGAGAAGCTTAGAGTAAGTATGGAGGGGGGCGGGGGGAGTCTGCAGGGGGAGGGAGGGGAGCACTCAGAGCTTCCCCTGCAGACACAGCCTCTGCCATAGGCAAGCTACTATCAGTCCTCATCTGCTTTTTTTCTTAACCAGGCAGGAGCTCTACCACTTGAGCCATGCCCCAATCTCATCTGCTCTTTAGACAGATTAACTGAGAAACAGTCCACATACCACGAAGTCCACTCACTACTCACTTCATACCAGGAATCAGGCAGCCATTGGCACAATTTTAAAACACTTCATCATCCCTAAACAAACCATTTTTCTCTTCCACATTATTGCTAGAAACCATCCATCCATTTCTCAATTTGCCTACCCTGAACATTTCACATAAATCTACTCTCACAATTAGGTCTAATAAATCTCATCTTACAAATGTGAGATTGAGAGAGACAGACAGACAGACAGAGATACAGACAGACAGAGAGAGACAGAGAAAGAGAGAGAGAGAGTGTGTGTGCTGGGGATTGAACCCAGGGCCTTGAGCAGCCAAGCTGCACACTCTCACTGAACCACACCTCTCCTACTTGGTTCATCGATGTTGTAGCACGGGTCAGCCTGGCATTCCTTTTTAAGTCTGAATCCTCCCCCATTGTATGGATACACATCTTATGTATCCATTTTCCTGTTGATGGACATCTGGTTGGCTTCTACTTTGTGGCTATTATAAATGCTGCAAGGATGCTTTCTGGGAGGACACAGACTTCCTGTCTCTGGGGATACAGGGCAGGGAGTGGAACTGCGGGGTCCCTGGTAACCTGGTGCTTAACTTCTTGAGATTCATCTGCTTCCATTTTCACCATTTCCTCTCTGCAGCTCCCAGGATCTCTTTCTGCCCACCTCCTCTCCAGCTGGCTCTCCTTGTTTTCTCCTTCTACTCCACGCTGAGATGGGAAGTGTTCTGGTCCAGACCTTCTTTCTCTGCACAGCTGTCCTTTCCCTCCAATGACCCCACAGGCCCGAAGACTGGACTGATGATAGCTCCACAGAGCATGAATGTACCCCTATTCTACATGCTCTCTCCATGTCCCATGGGCATTTCTGGTGGCCACCTCCTCTCCAGAAAGCCTGCTTCTTGGTTCCCCACCTGGCTCCCAGAAACACACCAGCTAGCAGTCCACCTTTGCACCATCTCCGCTTCTAGCTCCATTCTCCCTGTTTGTCTGTCTTGACGGACACCACCACTCACCTCCATCACTGCGCAGCCTCCACATCCAGGCCGTGCCTTCACACCGCTGGCAGAGTTCTTTCCCAAATGTCCACCTGACCCACAAGATCCTTAAATCGCTGCCTGCACCTGCAAGACAAAGTGTAAGGCTCCAAGCCTGGCTTCCAAGGCCCCTGAAACTCTGCTTCCACTCCCAAACCTTGGTTCTCACCACTCTGGGAATTCAGCTGTTTCCCTGGGCTTCTCAGCTGTTCCTGTCTTCTCTGGATGTTGGCTTAGACCTGTTTCTTCTGGACACCACACTGGGGTAGAGACCCTGCTGGTCTTCCTTGCAGCCTGGCTTTCATACCTGCAGGGTGGGCTAGGCCCACGCCTTGTACACCTCGCACACTGGCCACGTGGGTGTTTGCTAATGATTGTGAACTGCTCCCCAAACACATCAGGTCTGTTTGACCTGAACTGGTCATTTACTGCTCCAGAGCCTGTATTTTCCTCCAACTATTTCTAGTTCTAGGATGATATAGAACCCTAACAAACAAGAATGTGCCATGACTTGAGAACTCCAAGCTATACTTTTTGGTCTCAAATCTTTGTTTTTGTTTTTTTGTTTTGTATTTTTGGGTCCGGTCATGGGGCCTGAACTCTGGGCCTGAGCGCTGTCCTTCAGTTCTTCAGCTCAAGGCTAGCGCTCTACCACTTGAGCCACAGCGGCACTTCTGGCTTTTTTCTTTTTGCTTATGTGGTGCTGAGGAATCGAACCCAGGGCCTCTGGCATGCAAGGTATGCGCTCTACCACTGAGCCACCTTCCCAGCCCCTCAAATCTTTGTTGACAGTAATTCCCATATATTCCTTTCCCTGCTTGCCTGATGGTTCATTCAGAATCATGAAGCGCCCAGACTCCTCTGTGTGTTGATTATGAGGACACAGGCCCCAGTGGCTGCACAGCAGGGCGGTCACCCCAAGGTGACTGGGGGTATACCTGGTGTGCGGTCTGAATTAAACCTAGCGGTCCTCCCAGAGTGCCAGTCTGCACGCCCTGTGCGCTAAGGGGTGACTCTGTGTTCAGCTTACAGGAGAATGACATTGGGGATGAAGGCGCATCTGCAGTGGCCAACGCACTCAAGGTGAACACAACCCTCACTGCCCTCTAGTAAGTCTTGAATGTGCAGGGAGCCCAGCCCCCCACCATCCTCTGATGCCACACACCATCTTTACCAGTCAAGGAAGGTGTGCTTCACTTCCCTAGTATCAGCAATTAGTGAATCAAACTTTTAGGATGTAAGAGTTAGGGGCTTCAGTGAGTGTTCTCCCCGGTGCTAGGAGACTCTTACTTCCTGTCTGCTAACCTCCACATCCACACATTTGTCATGAATATAGGGGACTCAACTTTCTCCACCTTCAGCCCTAGCCGGGTGGTGGGGGGAGGTGGGGGAGGGTGGGAGAGGGGGAAGAGTATGGAGAAAGGCTGGACCCAGAGTAGGTGCATGATGGGAAAGGGATCGCTCCTACATGCAGTGACTGGGCCTCCTTTTATAGCCTCCAGATGGCCTCCATTGGCACCCCAGGGGCCCAGGCACTGGGGGAGGCCCTGGCTGTGAACAGGACATTGGAGATACTTGAGTGAGTATTCCTGTCTCCACTGACAATCTTTTGTCCATAGAAATAAAGCGATTGGGGCTGGGAAGGTGGCTCAGTGGTAGAGTGCTTTGCCTCGCATGCATGAGGCCCTGGGTTCCATTCCTCAGCACCACATAAGTGGAAAAAAAGCTGGAAGTGGTGCTGTGGCTCAAGTGGTAGTACGCTAGCCTTGAGCTGAAGAGCTGAGGGACAGTGCCCAGGCCCAGAGTTCAGGCCCACGACCGGCAAATAAATAAATAAGAAATAAAGGGATTGATCCCAAAGGAATAAACTTGTCCATTTACATAAAAACTCACAGGTCACTGTCACGATCTTCACTCCTGGTCAAGTGTGCCCCGTTAGTGTTCACCCTTAGTGCCTCTTCCCTGAAGTCTCTATGGTTTGTCTTGAAGTGTTCTTGTCCTGGCTGTACTTGTCTAGAGGACCCCTTTAGGTCCTCTGGGGTAGCCAGTGGCCATGGCATTGGTTCTATGAGAAGGCTCAAGCTCTACAAGGCTCTCAGGCCTGTCCACGACATCTCTACACTTGGGAATCCATGATGCCAGCACCCGCCAAGCGTGGCAGGTGCTGGCAGGAGAGTGGTCTCTCTCAGTCCAGTTTTTCCACCTTTGGGATGGAACAGGGGGACAAGGGCTCCAACAGAGCAACCCTTCCTGTGTGCCCTCCTCTCCCTAGAGCCTAGCTCTGTTCTACTGCAGATGTAGGGAAAGAAATGACCCTCATCTCCTATAGCTGAGGAAGTCCAGGAACCCCACATCTATGTGGAGGGGCATCGTCACCACCACTTAGCCTGTCCCTGTGCTTCCTGACAGCTTACGAGGAAATGCCATCGGGATGGCTGGAGCCAAGGCCCTGGCAAATGCTCTGAAGATAAACTCCAGTCTCCGAAGACTCAAGTAAGTGGCCATGGAGACCTACACGTGTGTCTCAGAGCAGGAAATTTCTATGCTGGATCATCTCGGTATAAAATATTCTTGATTTCTGGGGCTGGGAAGGTGGCTCAGCGGTAGAGTGCATGCCTTGCAAGCATGAGGCCCTGGGTTCTATTCCTCAGCACCACATAAACAGAAAAAGCCGGAAGTGGTGCTGTGGCTCCAGTGGTAGAGCGCTAGCCTTGAGCTGAAGAGCTGAGGGACAGCGCCCAGGCCCAGAGTTCAGGCCTCATGGCGGGCAAAAAACAACAACAACAACAAAAAAAATATTTTTGATTTCCCCCTGCTGCTTACTTCTGGATGTAAATGACTCAGAGCTATTCTGACAGTTCATATCCATTGTAGTTAGTTGTTCATTCTAAGTCACACACAAGTCACTTAAAAATCTGCATTTATGGTTACTTAGAGATATCCATCTCAGGGGTCCAACACCACCTAGCAGTTGCCATGATGCCTATGGGCAGACCAACCCCAGAACTACTCACCTCTCATCTCCCACAACGCCAAGGCAGTGTTGGCTCTTCTGGTGTTTCTTCTGTCCTGAGAGCTACCCACAGCATCTCGGTCTCTTCTTTGCCTAGTCTCCAGGAGAACTACTTGGGGATGGATGGAGCGATTTATGTGGCCACTGCACTGGCTGAGAACCACGGGCTGCAGCAAATCAAGTGAGTAGACTTGGCAGCACCTGCCCCTTCTGGGCCACTTTTGCTCACCCTGAAAACTGTTCCCACATCAGCGTCTAGCCCAGTTCTGGGCATGAGCTGCCATGCAGACTCCCCAGAAGTTCTCCAGGGGACTTAGTCTAAGGAGGAGCCTGTGTCTGAGAGTCTCGACCATGGGTCCACAGAGTCCTACATTGCTATAGTGATGATTGTTCTACTAAAGGGAACCTGTTGGTGTTGAGCCCTGCTCTAACCCTTCTGTTCTAGTCTGCAGGGAAATCTCATTGCAGAATCGGGTGCCAGGATGATCTCAGATGCTATCAAGGCAAATGCTCCCATGTGCACTGTGGAAATGTGAGGAAAATTAGCTCCTTTGTGGACCAACCAGAAAGGGTAATTTCCAATCCTAGGCACCATCTCGTGCTTCAAGGATGCTGCTGCCCGGCACAAAAGAAGTTCTGCCCGGAGAAAGGCAAGGCACGACCAAAGGCAGTCGCAGGCACCTCTCCTGCCCAGGGCCAGTCCAGGCAGGGTAGAGGAACACTGTTATGGCAGAGAAGGAAAGAGGCTGCCACCACGAGACTCAGTCTAAGCTTGAAAGCTCAGTATCGCCAGAAGATGTTCCAGCTTATTTATATCTGAGGACTTCATGAGCCCCAACTTAAAAACAATGATGATTTCTTCCCTTATTCACTCATGTAGAAGTTCTGAAATGAGTTGCTATCTTTTTTTTTTTTTTTTGGGTGGTCATGGATCGTGAACTCTGGGCCTGGGCACTGTCCCTGAGGCTCTTCAGCTCAAGGCTGGTGCTTTACCCACTTGAGTCACAACGCCATTGCCAGTTTTCTGGTGGTTTATTGGAGATAAGAGTCTCATGGACTTTCCTGCCCAGGCTGGCTTTGAACTGTGATCCTCTGATCTGAGCCTCCTGAGTAGCTAGGATTACAGGCATGAGCCACTGGCGCCCAGCTCCTTTCAATACTTTCAACCTGTTGCTCTACTGCTGCTGGTCTGCACTGTCTTTGAGAGAGCTACACAGAACAGAAAGTTGCAGTAGTCAAACACCAGGGAAAGGCTGTGTCCTGAACACTAGAGGAGCCTGAAGGAGAAGGCGTGCAGAAAATACTCTCCTGAGGCTGGAAACACAAGCCCCTCTAGCACTAAAAGGGGGGTTTCACTGGTAAAAGTGTCTCCAGCACCCCACTGACAAGGCTTCATAGCTTGCTTACTTACAAAGGAGAAATATTTACATGGCCTAGTTGCCTTAGTACAGAGCAGACTGAAAGGTGAATTTGGAGTTGAGACAATGAGTCAGCCTGTCATTTTCCGTTCTGGTCAGTTTTTAGTTACGATATCTTGAGTGTATTATTTACTCAGCAATGCATCATTGGTGTCAACTTCATCTTTCACATTTCTCACCTCAGACTCAGTTCTATTTGACATGAGCCTAAGGTCTCAGCTTCCCCAGCTCTAAAGTCTGTACTTGTTTTTCAGGTCCCAAAGTATTGATGCTGTCTCCTCCACTCTGGTTTCGGCTCTGGTCCTTGTGACCTTTATGAACTTGCCTCTCTAGATTTCTTCTTCTTCTCCTTTTCCCTCCCTCTCATTTTAGTGGAATTTCAGAAGAAGAGAATCAAATACCATATTCTGATTGTCAGGCTTACTGGAATCTGGAAGGTCTCTGTTGCCTGATAGTCAAGGATATTAAACTTAATGAATGTCTCAGAAAATTTTAGTTAAGGTTCATATAATGCTTGGTATTGTGAGCATGCAGAAAAGATTATAAAATAGAATAAAAGCACAATTAAAAGCCCATGTACAGTCCATGTTCCAAACTGTGCAAGTGAGTGATTAACAGTTAGATGTTACCTAACAATTCCTAAAACAAGTCCTGTGCAAAGTCCCAGCCCCAGGTCTGTCAGGCTCTTAGAGGAAAAGCCACCAAACTTAGGTTGTGTCTTCCCATATTTCACTTTAAGCTTTTGTCCCGTGGATTTAAGTCACTTAACACCCATGCATTTCCCAAGTATTAAGAGAAAAAGAAGGCAAAAGGAAATCATCTTTGTGGTTTGCTTCAGTTCTCATTTATGCTTCAGAGTACAAACAGGAAGGTAAAGCAGAAAGAAATCTTCTTGCACACCAATGGTGTAGCAAACACAGTACCTGTTACCTTCCCAGCCTTCTGGCTTACCATTTATCTACAAGTTTGAGGCTCTCAATCTGCCTGGGTCCCTTGGCAAGTCAGAAGTCATTATCACTTTCATCCAGGGGCTCGGGTTTCCGGACTCTTCGATTGGGCTTAGTTGGTGAGAGAGCAATGCTCTCATCTTCTAAGTCATCATCGTCTTCTTCATCATCTTCCATGTCAATTTCACTGTCCTCCGAATCTTCCTATAGAGAAACCATGGTATGTGGTCCTGTTTTGTTACAGTATCTTGTTTAAGGGGCCCGTCCTCATTCTTTATGGTGGCTCAATAACAGTGCCATCTGTTGGCAGAGTGCCAATCAGGCTGTGCTGGCACAGTGGGCTTTGCCAGCTGGAATACCTCCACAAGACCGCCTGACTAACGAATAGGTAGCTCAAGTTCCAATGTGCACTGGGTCAGGGGTTGGCTTTCCAGGGGTGTCCCAAGCATACCCTGGACAAACACTAAGGGTGGCTGGTGCTGCTCAGCTCAGGGGAGCCCGGGGACACAATCGACAGCATAGCGGCTCCTTCCAGAGAAGGGTAGAAAGCAGCACAGCCAGTGAGTGTGAGGAGCAAAGTAAAGGAGTCATCAATGTCCTGATCTGGGAGACTAATGCTGGTTGTGCCCACATATACTAGCACATACACGTGCTAGAATTTCCTTCTTCAGAAAACCAGAAATGTCACCAACCATTCTCTCCAGCTGTCTGCCCCACACAGAGTTCCTCGAGTGAAGCCAGCCTCCTATCTGTTCTGCTCGTGCCCCTCTTAGGTATATTCGAACCAGGCTCTAAACCCACAATTCCAAAACCACTCATCAAAACAAAACATTCTGAGGATTCCAATTCAGTGGGGTCCACAGTTCTCACTTCGTCACCCCTCTTCTCTGAAATCCCTGTTCTCTAGAGCATCTGTGCTGGTCCCGCTTCTTACCCTAGCTCTCTACGCTGTCTGCTCAGCCCCTTGCCTGGCCCTCCTCTCTTCCTGTTGTCCTAAGCAATGACTCACATCTACCTCACAGATTCTAGATCTGAATTTTTTTTTTTGTCATGGAGCCTGAACTCTGGGCCTGGGTGCTGTCCCTCAGCTCTTCAGCTCAAGGCTAGCACTCTACCACTTGAGCCACAGCACAAATTCCAGTTTTTTGTTTATGTGGAGCTGAGGAATGGAACCCAGGGCCTCATGCATGCAAGGCAAGCACTCTGCCACTGAGCCACCTTCCCAGCCCATCCAGATCTGAATTTTAACTGGCCACTCTATGCAGGCATGTGGCTGTGTAACAGGCAGCTTCCCACAGAATGTTCAAAATCCAACTCTTGATCTGGACTCTCCCATCCCCTCCTCAATTTGTTGCTTAAGGAAATGAAAATCCTGTGCCTTCAGCTGATTAGACCACAACCGAGGTCACCTCCTCTCCTCTCCTTCAACACCATGTGTGCAATCAACTCACAAAACATGACAGGTCCGACTCCAGAAGCATACCCACAACTGACTGTCACTGCTTAAGGTTGAGCCACTGGCACCTGAAACCTGACAGCTGTTGTTGCCACCTAAGCTTACGATTCCTGAGCGCAGCCTGGCCCCACTCAGAAAAAATGCTATGAGCAGAGCTGAGCAGGAAGGTATGGCAATGCCACCCACCTCTTACAGGGCTGCCCAGCCCCTCCACCCACCACTGCTCCTCACGCCAGGGTCCCCTCCCTGCACAGCCGGCCACCTCCCTTCATCTAACTCTCTGCTCCAATGGCACTGTATTAGGCATTCCCTCACTATACAGAGATATTCCCATTCTGCTTTGCTTCTCTTCCTAATACCTATGACTAAGGTATGCCTGCCATCACTGGACTGTGCATGTCCTAAAGGCAGAGGCTGTGTTCTCTTTCCTGCTGTGTTCTCCATCATCTATAACAGAGGCTGGCACATGACAGAACCCAACAGATGGGTGAAGGGCTGACCCTTCCACTCAGGGGACTGCCTCCTTGAAAGAAATAAGCAATGCACCACTGCTGATGCATTCATTCCAAAAAGCACACCGCAAATGCAATAGAGACCAGCTCTGCTTTCCAGGCCAGACCTTCCCTGTTTCACGCTCAGGTGGGCAGGATGAATGCATGGATGGTAACACCCACGTCCTCCTCGTTGACAGCGATCATTGTTAAGGGGGGCTCCCTGCCTCTCTACAGATCGTAGCCTAGGAATTCAAGGCCCAAACTTCTCTGTACCCTGCCACCCTGGGTGACAGCTTGTTCCTGTGAATGCTGCTAACACTCTGTGGCACTGAGACTGCAGAGGCAGTTGTCAACTTCCATCTCCTGAATGGGGAGCAGGAAATGTTCTCTTATTTTTTATTTCCCTCTACTTTTACCCTGCTATACTAAAATAAATCTTTGCTAAGATTTAAAGAAAAGGCCCAGTCGGGTGCCTGTGGTTCAGGCCTGTAATCCTAGCTATGTAGGCAGGAGGCTGAGATCTGACAATCACGGTTCAAAGCCAGCCAGGGCAGAAAAGTCCCTGAGACTCTTATCTCCAATAAACCACTTGAAAACCGGAAGTGGTGCTGTAGGTCAAGTGATAGAGCGCTAGCCTTGAGCTGAAGAGCGCAGGGATAGTGCCCAAGCCCAGAGTTCAAGCCCCACAACCGACAAAAAAAAAAAAAAAGAAAAAAGAAAAAAGAAAAGGCCCTACACAGCCATAGCATTATGCCCCCAGCACAGGCTAAGCCCCAACAGCCTGTCTGGGAAAGTGCCAGTCCAGCCACCTCTAGCACATGGGACTGCAATAGGACAAAGGCCCAGAGCAATGGGAGGTGCATCCCCAACTTGCCTGTCAGGAACAACTCCTCCGCTACCTTCTCCTTTCTGCTGAAGTCCTCTAGTCAGCATCTGCCCAGGAAAGCTCAAAGTACCAGCTGCCTGGTACTTATCCACATCCTTCCCCCAGGATGGAGCTGCGAGAGCTGGTCAGCACTGTCCCTTCATTCCAGGTTACAGGTCAAGGGCCTGCTGACTCCTCACCACCTTTCTTGTCCCTGGCCTCTGTGCTCACCCCTCCTCCCCCACCTAGGGACCGTGAGACCATTCTGCCTCTCACTGTGGGATCCAGTCTCACTGTGGGATGCAGTGTCAGTGGCTTCTTGCCCAACAGACAGGACATACCATCCTGAACACTGGTTCTGCTGGCCCTACGCAGGTTGACACACATCGTAAACAGACGAGGCAAAAAAGAAGACCAACCTGCTTCCTGGAGCGAGGAGTGCTGCATTTACCTAAAAGAGCTGGTGCTGCTTCCATCTTTGGAAAGCAAGAATGGAAAGAACAGTGAGAAAGCAAAAAAAGTAGGGCAAGCATATTCGTATGAAATGAGAAATCAACTACTGACAAGCGAAGAAGAGTCCAACCTTTCAGAGGCCAAACTCTGGCACAAATTGAGCAAAGCACTTAGGTTAGGAACAGATGGATCTGGGCTGCCAGCAGCTCCTGAGCTAATCTAGTCTAGGAGAAAAGCCCAAGAGCACAAGGCACAGAAGTGGGAAAGGGAATGGTCGGGACTCACATCATCATCCGAGTCTCCACCTTGCATTGTGCCCACAATGCGCTTGCTGGGTCTTCCTGGAATAAAAAACAACAACAAAAAAAAGCCAAAGCATTAGAAAACCTCTTAAAAGGGCTGGGAAGGTGGCTCAGTGGTAGAGTGCTTGCCTCACATGCATGAGGCCCTGGGTTTGATTCCTCAGTACCACATAAGCAGAAAAAGCCAGAAGCGGCACTGTGGTAGAGTGCTTGCTAAGCTAAAGAGCTTAGGGGCAGTGCCCAGGCTTAGAGTTCAAGCCCCACAACCGATGACAAAAAAAGAAAAAAAAAAAGAAAAAAAAACACACGAGAACCTCAAAAAATAATTTAGAAGATAGACTTTGAGGGGCTGGGGGTTTAGCTCAGCGGAAGGGCGCCTGCCTGGCAAGCGCAAGGCCCTGGGCTCAGTCCTCAGCTCTGGAAAAAAGATAGACTTTGACACTTACTTTCCCTTATGAAATCAGGAAAAGGAAAAATCATAGTAAAAAGTTTAGTGTCCAAAAAATCAGAACTATGAACTAAGATTTATTAGCGTTCATAAGAAACGAAAAGGTAATATAAATTTATCAAAGGATCTTAATTTTACCCCTTAAAGTTATTAGGTATAAAAATAAAACTGTCGGGGCTGGGAAGGTGGCTCAGTGGTAGAGCGCTGGCCTTGCATGCACGAGGCCCTGGGTTCGATTCCTCAGCACCACATAAGCAAAAAGAAAAAAGCTGGAAGTGGCACTATGGCTCAAGTGGTAGAGTGCTAGCCTTGAGCTGAAGAGCTGAGGGATAGCACCCAGGCCCAGAGTTCAGGCCCCACGACCGGACCCAAAAAATAAATAAATAAATAAAATTGTCTTGGGACTGGGAAGGTGGCTCAGTGGTAGAACGTTTGCCTTGCACGCATGAGGCCCTGGGTTCAATTCCTCAGTACCACATAAGCAAAAAGAAAAAAGCCGGAAGTGGCACTATGGCTCAAGTGGTAGAGTGCTAGCCTTGAGCTGAAGAGCTGAGGGACAGCACCCAGGCCGAGTTCAGGCCCCACGACCAGACCCAAAAATAAATGAATAAATAAAACTGTCTTGCAGGGCACTGGTGGCTGATGCCTGTAATCCCAACTACTCAGGAGGCTGAGATCTGAGGATCATGGTTCAAGGTCAGCCCCAGCAGGAAAGTTCATAAGATGCTTATCCCAACTAACAAACAGAAAACCGGAAGTGACACTGTGGCTCAACTGGTAGAGCCTTGAGCTGAAGAGCTGAGGGACAGCGCCCAGGCCCAGAGTTCAATCCCCACGATGGACAAAAAAAAAATAAAAACAAACAAAAAAACCTGTCTGTAATTCAAGCAAGGGGGAGGTAGAGGCAGGAGAGTCTTGAGTTCGAGGTCAGCCTGGAATATGACACAGCTATTGAAAATAATGAAGCAGATCTATATCTACTGTCATGGGGAGTTACAACATACTTTGAAACAACAGTTGAAAAACCCTACTTAGGTTTAAGGGGTTTCAGGCCATCTTTGTACTATGTTCAATTGCACGTATCTCTGTGTGGTCAGAACTGAGGCTCTCAAAGGCAGGAACAGGCCATGAGAAAGACTCTAGGAAAGTCTGAAGTGAGACAAAAGAAATTAGAATTTTTTTTTTAAGGGAGAGATGCTCATATGATTCCTTCTCTGTGCTAATTAATTTCTAGGCCTTAGATGTAATTACATGAAGAACAACTTAAGACACAAGGCAGGATATAGAGTCTATGGCAGAGCCAGTGCATTTCTGTGGTTTCCATGAAACATTCCAGCCCACAGGTATGAATTGGCAATTTTCTGACCACAGGCATCAAGGTAATGATGCCACTGAGCCAGTAAGAGCCAGATTCTTACCCAGGGAAGGACAAACTGGGACAGGATCAGCTTCAGAGTCAGGTTGCTGTGAGCTCAGGACTGAGCAGCCCTTCCCTATTCTTACTCAGGGCACAGGGCACAGGGCCAACAGAACAAGCTACACTACCTTGCATGAGCACCTCCATGGCGGTCCTTGGCTTGGACAGCCGTCTTTCCTCCAACTCACTGTCAGACTCATCATCCTCCTGGATGTCTATGTCTGAGTCATCGTTACCTGGCAGGAACACAAGGAGACAAAGAAAAGAGCAGGTCCGTCCTTACAAACAGCTTCTGTGGAGGAAGGCTCATATGTAAAAAGTGTCTCTACAGACTAGTCTTTCTCTGGATGCATCAGATTCCACAATGGATTTGTGTGTAGACACTTAGTGAAGAGTTAAAACACCATAATGTGTTGTATTAACAAAATAATAAGCAATATCCCACAGCAGGAGGAAAAGTCGCCTAGATGGCTTAGTGAAAAACATTGATAATCTAAAAATTTTCAAATTGAGGAACCACATGTCAAAGCAGCTCTATCTTTCTGGTTAACTGAGGGGAAATACCTTCTGTTCTCAGTTAGGCTGTTTTACCAGAACTCAAGCCCCCTGATCAGGAAAAAAAGATTAAAGTGGCAGGACGCCGGTGGCTAATGTCTATAATCCTAGCTACTAAGGAGGCTGAGAAAAGCATGGTTCAAAGTCAGCCTGGGCAGTAAGTCTATGAGACTATCTCCAATTAACTACCAAAAATCCAGAATGGAGTTGTGGATCAAGTGGTAGAGTGCTAGCCTTTATCACAAAAGCTCAGGGACAGTGTCAAGCCCTGAGTTCAAGCCCCAGGGCCAGAACAAAAGTAAGTAAATACATAATATGTAGGTAAATATTTTAAAATATATAGTTTGTCAAGGCTGGAAACAGCCTTACTTCCACTCTTGAGAAGCCGCTTTTCCTCTTCCTTTAGCTTGTTCTGCATCAAGCGGAGAGTATTTTCAGCCTCCTAAGAGGAAATAAAGATTCAGATCTTTGGTGGATGATTTTATTCTTCCTTCCCAGTGTAGGTCCAGAAACATTTGTGACAGAGAACAAGGAAAGATCTTAAGTTTTCTTGAGCCGCCTTACCATCCCCAAACCTGCGCCCTTGTTGGTAGTAATGGCAGGCCTGTGGAAGTAGCTCAGAAGTGATGTACTGGCCTCACCCTTGCTCTTTCCACCACACCCTGCCATGCTAAAAGAACTGAGCAACTTAAACTTTGAGTGATGCTCTAAATATTGAACAGAAAGTATTGCTATTCTGCAGAGCAGGCCTAGGCCCTAACAGACAGAGCACTGTGTGAGTGGGCAGGTCACTGACATCAAAATCTGACTTCCAGTAAAAGAAGAATTATATGAGCAACCCGCAGAGAGTAGTCTAGTTTCCACATATTTATATGCCGACATGTCACCAAGGACAGACAGTGTGCAGGGGCCTGGTCTGAACAGACTCACTTCAAACCTCTCTTGCTCCATCCTATGGTGGTCCTCCAGTTGCTGTTCCAGGTAAGCCAAATTCCGAAATTTCTCCAGATAAATGTCATACTGCTTTTGTAATTCTTCCTCAATCTTCTCATACTCATCCATAAAGGCAGGCCTAAAACAAGCAAAAGAAACAAAACCAGAAAAGTTAATGAGTATGCAATAGCTTGAAATTAGTATTCAAAATGCCACCATGGCTTTCTTTGGAAATCTTTAATTACAGAAGGTCCTTCATTCAGACAACTGCCTTGTGGAGTGCAGAACCACAGAACTGCAGAACTGCAGAGTGCAGAGTTGCATCCTCACAGTTAGAAGGCTTCGTCCATCTCACAGGCAACAAGCTGCGGCTGTGTTCCTGGTATGTATAGTTTTGCCTCATCATTTCACTGAACCTTCAAAACCAGCTGTAGGCAGTACTGGGATTTCAACTCAGGGCCTTCAACTCTCTCCATTTGCTCAATTGGCTGGTGTTCTACCTCAGCTGTACCTTCAGCTTGCTTTGTGTTGGTTATTTTGAAGATATTTCACAGACCTTTCTGCCTAGAATGCCTCTGAATTGCAATCCCCTTGATCTTAGCCTCCTGAGTAGTAAGGATTACAGCTGTGAACCACTGGCATGTGGATTTTCTTCAGAATTTGGCTAATGTGAGTCAACACTCTAGAGCCCTGTCACATGGTATAGGAACAATAAAACCTCTAAGCTCAGATGGGCCACTAGACCTATCAAAAGTGTGAAGGTATCTCATTATCCAGGGCTACTCCCTTTTCCTCCTCTAATATAAATCTGAAGTCAGCCCTTCCATCACACCTGACATCTCAGTGATCCTTCCTTCTGGCTAAAATGCCAGATTGATCCTTCCTTCCCCTCCGTCCCTCCCTCCCTCCCTCCCTCCTTTCCTTCCTTCCGTCTGTCGTGGGCCTGAACTCTGGGCCTAGGCGCTGTCCCTCAGTTCTTCAGCTCAAGGCAAGCATTGTACCACTTGAGCCACAGCACCAATTCTGGTTTTCTGGTGGTTAATTGGAGATGATAATCTCTCAAACTTTCCTGCTCAGGCTGACTTTGAAGCACAATCCTCAGATCTCAGCCTCCTGAGTAGCTAGGGTTACAGGTGTGAGCCACCAACACCCAGCTTAAAATGCCAGATTCTATAGTCGGTAGGTTTGTTTGAGCCTGGCTATTGTAGCCCATTCTAGCCTCAGACTCACTCTCCTTTTGCTTCAATTCCCCCAGTGCAAGAATTATAGGCATGTGATTTTAAATAGTGCTCCTTCTCTTGGGACTATAATTTTATTCTCTTCAACTTTTCTTCTCCAAAATCAAACCAGATAGTTGTTCCCTTCTTAGGGTTCTACTTTCTCAGTTCGTTTAGGATGCCCCTTGTCCAGTTCCTCTAGAAGCAGAAAGAAGAGGCACATCTGAGCTTAGCCATTTAGACTAGCTTGGTCAACACAGCGAGACATTTATCTCCCACAAAACATACACATATACAAATGTATATGAGATATACACATAGACATGTGTATACATGATGTATATTGTATGTATGTAGTGTGATTATGAACATATGCAGGTATACATGTGTATATGCTGAAAATAATTCATGATCTTTTAAACTACACTTCTAAGGCTTAGCCTAGAAGACGTTCTATTAGCATTTTCTAGTATCTGAAAATGGATTTCCAATGAGGTATAGTCATAAGAAAGATAAAGCTGGACACTGGTGGCTCACATCGATAATGCTACTCAGGAAGCTGAACTCCAGAAGATCATGGTTCAAAGGCAGCCCAGGCAGAAAAGAAACCACAAGACTCCATCTTAAAGAAACTGCAAAAAGCCAGGTTGGAAGCAAGGCTTAAATGGTAAAACACCAGTATAGCAAGCTAAGCAAATGTGAGGGCCTGCGTTCAAATGCCAGTACTGACAAAATGAAAAAAAAAGATAAAGTGCTGACAGATAAGAAATCATCAACCAGTTGCTAGTGGCTCATGACTATAATCCTAGCTACTCAGGAGACTGAGATCTGAGGGTCAAAGCAAGTCTAAGCAACAAAGACTGTGACTCTTTATCTCCAATTAACACCAGAAAACCAGAAGTGGAGCTGTAGCTCAAAGAGGTAGAGTGTTAGTCTTGAGCAAAAAGAACACAGAGATAGGACCTGAGTTCAACCCCATGACTGACCAAAAAAAGAAAGAAAAGAAAAAAAATCATTATAGGGCTGGGAAGGTGGCTCAGAGGTAGAGCGCTTGCCTTGCATGCACAAGGCCCTGGGTTCAATTCCTCAGCACCACATAAGCAAAAAGGAAAAAAAAAAGCCGGAAGTGGCGCTGTGGCTCAAGTTGTAGAGCGCTAGCCTTGAGCTGAAGAGCTGAGGGACAGCGCCCAGGCCCAGAGTTCAGGCCCCACGACCAGACCCCCACCAAAAAAAAAATCATTATAATCTAAAGTCTAAAATCTACTTCAGTCAATATATGGAAATATGTTGTCTTACCTGATTTTATGTCATGATCTTAGGAGGCTAAGCTTTGTATCACTTACAACATCTGGATTTATTTACTTCACCTTACATTCAAGAAGCCATGAAAGCTTAAAGGTAGCTCAAGAATTAAGCCATTTTCCAGACACATTGAAAGCAGCACACAGACACCCATGAGTGCACTGTGGCGCAGCCCCTCACTCCAGGCTGGTGGCTGCTTTAAGAGGTCATGCCATTAGTATTCTCTTAGTCTCTGGTCTATTTTCCAAAATACCTCTCTATTCGCTGTCACTACCCACACAGGAGTTCACATATACCTGACGCTCTGCAGGGTCTGTAGTCGCTTCCGATTTCTTTCCAGTTCTAGTTTTCTCTTTTCAATTTTGGCTTCTAAGTTAGCTTCATCAGATGCCACATTATTGAGCAAGTCCTTAGTCTTCTGAATCTGTGCCTACATTTAACAGGAATTAGTAAGACAACGGGGTCTGTAAGGACCACATCCTGAGCCTGAAGATTGCAATGTCATGTTGAATAAACCCAAAAGCAAACAATGTACACATGGTCCCCAGGAATGACTCATTTAACCAATTAGTTCCAGGAAGAGTGGCATATAGATCCAGGGAAAAAAAATTTCATGAAAAGTGGGTGTGTCTGCTCAGGAAAACAAAGGAATATGGCAAAAAGAGTGTTCTGATTAGGACTGAGAGCACCCTGGGAAGTCTCTCCATCAGATTTGGCATCAGCCCTAAACCACTACTGGCTACTGAAGGACAAGGCTCCTATTCCTTCTTGCTGGCAAAGGCTTGACTACCAGCTACAAATACAAAGCCCATGAGACACTTATCTCCAATTAAACACCAGAAAACTGGAAGTGGCACTGTGGCTCAGGCTCAAGTGGTACAGTGCTAGCCTTGAGCTGAACAGCTGAGGGACAGCACCCAGGCCGAGTTCAAGCCCCATGACTGACCCAAAAAAAAAAAAAAAAATTGGTTAAATAAGCTGGGCACTGGGGCTGGGAAGTTCACTCAGTGGTAGAATGTTTGCCTTGCATGCATGAGGCCCTGGGTTCAATTTCTCAGCACCACATAAGCAGGAAAAGCCGGAAGTGGCGCTGTGGCTCAAGTGGTAGGTGCTAGCCTTGAGCTGAAGAGCTGAGGGACAGTGCCGAAGCCAGAGTTCAGGCTCCATGACCGACCAAACAAATAAAATAAGCTGGGCACTGGTGGCTCATGCCTATAATCCTAGCAACTCAGAGGCTGAAATCTGAGGATCATAAAGAAAAGTCCCTCTGAGACTCTTATCTCCAATTAACCATTCAAAAACTGCAAGTGGGGCTGTGGCTCAAAGTTGTAGAATAGACTTCAGCAAAAAGTGCTCAGAGGGGCTGGGAAGGTGGCTCAGTAGTAGAGCGCTTGCCTTGCATGCATAAGGCCCTGGGTTCGAATCCTCAGCACCACATAAGCAAAAAGAAAAAAAGTCAGAAGTGGCGCTGTGGCTCAAGTGGTAGAGCACTAGCCTTGAGCTGAAGAGTTGAGGGACAGCGCCCAGGCCCAGAGTACAGGCCCCACCACCAGACCCAAAAAAAAAAAAAAGATTAAATAGAGCTGTATTCACTAAAATTATTAAAGCACTGAAAATTATGAAATCATCAAAACTATTCTTTTTGTTGTTGGTGATGGTGGTGGTGGTGATGGTTCTGAGGCTTGAACTCTGGGCCTGGGCACTGTTCCTGAGCTCTTCAGCTCAAGGCAAGATCTCAGCCTCCTAAGTAGCTAGGATTATAGACATGAGCCACTGGCCCCCTAGCTAAACCTACTCATTTTTTAAGACCATGATGAACTGCTCTTATTTATTTCTGAGGGGAAACAACAGATGTCTTAGAAATCCTTCAGATTCTCCTTGAAATAGTGCTGGTTACTAAGCATACCTGGTTCTGCCCGATGTGGGAAGGAAATTGTTTTGAGTCCCAGGCACAAATATGTAAGATAAAAGCAGTATCTTACCAAAACCTCTTTTATTGCAATTCTCATCACTTTCTCAGTCTCATTGATTTCCAGTGGCCTGGCAATGGCTTCAGTTCTCAGTTCCTAGGGGAAACAGAACAATTTACACATTCTTTCAGAAAAAGTTTCTCCCATTGGTTGCTAAATTTTTTTCAAGATGGAGTCCTGCCATGTTGCTCAGGTTGAGCCTGAACTCAAAATCTTAGCCTCCCAAGCAGCTGGAATTACAGGTGTGTATCATCTTTGCCTGCTCAAAAAGTTTTTCCCTCCCTCATCCCTCCTCGTACTGGGGATTGAACTCAGGGTACTGCATTTAGGCAAGCTCTCTACCATGTAAGCTATGCCTCCAATCCTTTTAAATTTGGGGTTTGTTTTGGTGGTCATGGGGCTTGAACTCGGGGCCTGGGCACTATCCCTCAGTTCTTCAGCTCAAGGCAAGTGCTCTACCACTTGAGCCACAGTGCCACTTCCAGTTTTCTGGTGGTTAATTGGGAGATAAAAGTCTCATGGACAGCCGGGCGCTGGTGGCTCACGCCTGTAATCCTAGCTACTCAGGAGGCTGAGATCTGAGGATCGCGGTTCAAAGCCAGCCCAGGCAGGAGAGACCGTGAGACTCCTATCTCCAATAAACTACCAGAAAACCGGAAGTGGCACTGTAGCTCAAGTGGTAGAGCTCTCGCCTTGAGCTGAAGAGCTGAGGGACAGCGCCCAGGCCCAGAGTTCAAGCCCCCACGACCGACAAAAAAAAAAAAAAAGTCTCATGGACTTTCCTTGCCCCAGCTGGCTTTGAACGGTGATCCTCAGATCTCAGACTCCTGAGTAGCTAGAATTACAGGCATGAGCCACCTGCACCTGGCTTGGTTATTTTTTACATAAGGTCTTGCTTCCTTGCTTGGGCGTGTGCCGGAGCTGTAATCCACCTATTTTTCACTTTCCATAATAGGTAAGATGATAGGTGTGCACTACTATATTCATCTTCTTCCGCTGAGATGGACTTTCATGTACTTTTCTGCCTAGACAGGCCTGAAACGCCAATCCTTTGAATTTCAGTCTCCTACATAGCAAGGATGACAGATGTACGCTCCTGCACTCAGCAAATGGTTGAGAAGGGGGCCTGCCTTGGATGCTTAGACTGGCCTGAAACTTTGGTCTCCTAATCTCAGCCTCCACATAGCTAGGATTACAGGTATGAGCCAGTAGAATTTCTTTCTTTCTTTTTTCTTTTTTTGCAGGTTGTAGGGCCTGAACTCTGGGCCTGGGCGCTGTCCCTCAGCTCTTCAGCTCAAGGCTAGCGCTCTACCACTTGAGCCACAGCGCCACTTGAGTCTTTTTCTGCATATGTGGTGCTGAGGAATCGAACCCAGGGCCTCCTGTATGCAAGGCAAGCGCTCTACCACTGAGCCATCTTCACAGCCCTGGCTTTTCAATTTCTTAAACAGTAATTCTAGAGGTTTTTCCTTTTTAATAGTTTGCTAAATTTTCAGCTGAAACTGCAAGTTTTCAAAGAACTAAGAGCTTTAAGTGGCGTGTGACTCAAGTGGTAGAGAGATCACCTTGAGCTGAAGAGCTGAGGGACAGTGCCCAGGCCCAGAATTCAAGCCCCACAATCAACAAAAAATAAGTAAGTAAATAATTCAAGTCTCTTAATAGGACCAACTCTACTTAAAAATTACCAGAAGTGGTGCTGTGGCTCAAGTGGTAGAGCACTAGCCTTGAGTGAAGAGCTGAGGGACAGCGCCCAGGTCCCAAGTTCAAGCCCCATGACCCACCAAAAAAAAAAAAAAAAAAAATTACTTGATAGTAGTGAGTCTGGTGTAATAATCTGTATCTCAGAGATAATTGGGGATGTGTTTGAACACCGATAGAGATGGTCTGGATGGACAAAAATCTGTCTATACTTCCTTCTCCGGTGAGCACTGTAAGGAAACCAGTCTGCATTTTTTCTCTGCACATTACTTACCCTCAACTCGACCTCCTTTCCCAACAAGTCATACAGAGATGCTCCTTTGGCGGTGATTTCCGAAGCCAGCTGCCTGGCTGCTTTCAAATCTGAGATCTTGAGGGCAAACAAAAAGAGGAACCTCAGGTTTTGATAACACTCAGCAGCAGTCTGTTAAGGTGAGTTGTAACCTTTAGGCACAAGCCCACCCCCAGGAGTTCCAAGGAACTGTTTGGGAACACAAACTAACTTCTGGACTTCTAATCTCTCTGAAATCAAATGTCAAGTCAGGCTGAATCTGAATCTGCAACAGGAGGTATAGGCAAGAGAAAGCTGACAAGACAAGTATCCTGCAACAGCTGAACTCCTGGGTTCAAGCGCTCAGCTAGTCTCAGCCTCCCTAGCAGCATGTGTGTGATACCGTGCCTGACTAGAGTGATCTTTTTTTTTTCAATTTCTTTACTAAGTGATTACATCAATTTCACAATATTGTGGGATAGTGATACTTAGCTAATGTCACAAACACATTTTAACCTTCATAGAGTGAATTGTCAGAATGATCCTTTTTTTTTTGGTCAGTCATGGGGTTTGAACTCTAGGCCTAGGCACTGTCCCTCAGCTCAAAGCAAGCACTACCATTTGAGCCACAGCGCCACTTCTGGTTTTTTGGTGTTTACTTGGAAGATAAGTGTCTCATGGACTTTCCTGCCCAGGCTGGCTTTGAACCATGATCCTCAGATCTCAGCCTCCTGAGTAGCTAGGATTACAGGTGTGAGAGACCAGGCAACCAGCCCAGAATGATGCTTTTTTTTTTTTTTGGTCCGGTTGTGGGGCCTGAACTCTGGGCCTGGGCGCTGTCCCTCAGCTCTTCAGCTCAAGGCTAGCACTCTACCACTTGAGCCACAGTGCCACTTCCAGCTTTTTCCCCCCCTGCTTATATGGTGCTGAGGAATCGAACCCAGGGCCTCATGCATGCAAGGCAAGCACTCTACCACTGAGCCACCTTCCCAGCCCAAGAATAATGCTTTTAATAGGTACATCTCTGCTCAAAATTCCATTTTCCACCTCAGTATCAAATCGAAGGCTTTCCAGGGGCTGGAGGGGCTGTCACCGCCTCCCCCATGGCTCTCCCCACAGGGCCTCCCTGCTGTTCCTCAGACACACAAGCACATGCTCATCCTGGAACACCTTTTCCCACTCTTGCCAGTATGGCCTTTCTTCTCTCAGATCTTTGCTGAGAAGCTATCCAATCCAGGCAGCCCTCCATCCCTGGCCCCTGTTCCGTCATTCTGTAGGGCAGAATAACTACACTGGACCACCTGTGCTTTCACTCCTGCTGTTCAGTGTGACTCCTCCAACTAAGCATGGAAACCCTGTTTCTGTCTCCTTTGTTCTCACCTGCATCCTCAGTATTTGACCACTACCTGGCAAATGACAGGCTTTATTCAAACAGTTGAATTAATTTAGTGCAACAAACTGACCAGGTTTCCTCAGTGAAGCAACAAGAAAGAACTTCCAGTGTCAGCCACATCCCATCCCCAAGTCTGAGAGGTAGACGACTGCCCCCAGCTGCAGTTGGCACCGTCCTTACCTTGGAACCTAGATCAAACTTGAACTTGCTGATGTCTTCCTCTCCTATTTTAGAGCCTTCCATCCCTTTGCTCTTCATAGCATTATAAAGCACAGATGTGATCTTCAATAGTTCTTTCACCGCATACCCATCTGCCTGGTAGAGCTTCTTGGTATTGAGTTTTATATGCGCCTTTGTGGCCTATTTTTAGATGTACACACACACAATTAAGGCCCTTTCCATGAAATGTCTAAATCAAATCCCATGTAGATAATTTGAAAAAGTCTCTGCCAATAATTAAGGTTAAAATACCTAAGAAATGGAGATCATTTTGGTAAAAGACACCAAAATAACAAATACACCTATCTTCTGACCCAAAATTACAATCCTAAGGATTTTCTCAAGAGATATACACAAAATGATAGGAATAGATTATTTATTACAGTATTGTTTCAAACAGTAAAAATTGGAAGTCAATTAAATACTTACATGTTACATAAATCATGGGAGCCCCTGCAAGCAATATGAATCAAGTTTAAGAGAACAAAAGGCTGAGCGTGGTGGCAAAAGCCTGAAATGCTAACTTCTTGGGAAGTAGAGGTTGGCGGATTGAAGTTTTAGGCCCACTTAGGCATAAAAGTTCTCAGGACGCCATCTCAACCAATGGCTGAATGAGGTGCCATGTGCCCCTTGGGGAGCACAGTGGCTGGAGGAAGTGGCGTATGCTTGTCATCCACAGCAATGCCAAGGAGCACAAGCAGAATCACAGCCCAGGCACAGTAACAACCAATGAAAAACAGGGCCGAACGCATTTTCCCCCCTGCCAGTCCTCAGGCTTGAACTCAGGGCCTGGGCTCTGTCCCTAACTTCTTTGGCCCAAGACTAGCACTCTACCACTCGAGCCACAGTACAACTTCAGGCTTTTATCTGTGTATGTGGTACTGAGGAATCAAACCCAGGACTTCATGCATGCTAGGCAAGCATTCTACCATTAAGCCACTTTACCAGCTGAATGCATTCTTTTTTTTTTGTTGTTGTTGGTCATAGGGCTTGAACTTAAGGCTTGGATGTTGTCCTTGGGCTCTTTTGCTCAAGGATAGCACGCAACCACTTTGAGCCATAGCAACACTTACAGTTTTCTGCTAGTTAATTGGAGATAAGAGTCAGTCTCACAAACTTTACTGCCTGTGCTGGCTTTGAACTGGGATCCTCAGGTCTTAGCCTCCTGAGTAGCTAGGATTATAGACATGAGCCACCAAAGCCCATCTGGAAGCATTCTTTATGTATTTGGAAAGTTCTCCAAAATATACTAATAAGTGAAGAAAGAAAGATGTTACATAGTGGTATATAGCAGTTATGTACAAGAAGTTTTATGGAAAAAGAACATGTATTATTTGCTTAGGTATACATAAAAAAGCTCTGAAAGAAACTTAAAATAGCTATTGAAAGTAGAACTGAACCACCACCAGTGGCTCATACCTGTAATCCTCACTGTTCGGAAGGCTGAGATCTAAGGATCACAGTTTAAAGCTAGGCTGGGGAAAAAAGTCTCCATGAGCCTCAGCTACAATTAACCACTCAAAAACCAGAATTGGATCTGTGGCTCAAACTGGTAGAGCACTAACCTTGAGCAAAGAGCTCAGGGACAGCAATTAGACTCTGACAGTACTCAGTCCCCATGACCAACAAAAAAATAAACCAACAAAGTAGAGTTGAGCCCAGAGTAGACAAAGTAGAATGTTACTGTACTCTACTATTTTAAAAATATTTGAACCATAAAACATAATATTTATTAAAAATAAACAAGTAATGAAGTAGGCTTCCTCCAATAAAATAACTTTTTGGTTATGATGCCACAGAAAACTAGTAACGGAATGTTGTAGAAAGTAAACCCTATTATTCAATTTCAAAGTTAGCCCTAACCAGGACACATCCCTTCCTTCCTTACTTTCACAATGCCACAAAATAACTGTGAACTAACCATGAACTGGGCAATTGCCTTAATGAAGAAAACTCGGTCTTGCTCAGTATCAATGTCTGAAGGGATGTCAGTTTGAGGCTCATACCTATCAGGAAGAGAACAAACATGAGTCAACCTACAAAAAGTCTATCAAAGAGAAAGTGGGTTGCTAGCATGAGGCTCTAAGGCCTTGGCCAAGATGCTAAGATTAAAAAAAAAAAAACTTCAAAAGTAACCCAAGCTGGGTGCTGGTGGCTCACGCCTGTAATCCTAGCTACTCAGGAGACTGAGATCTGAGGATCGCGGTTCAAAGCCAGCCCAGGCAGGAAAGTCCATGAAACTCTTATCTCCAATAAAGCACCAGAAAACTGGAAGTGGCGCTGTAGCTCAAGTGGTAGAGCATTCGCCTTGAGCTGAAGAGCTGAGGGACAGCACCCAGGCCCAGAGTTCAAGCCTCATGACCAACAACAAAAAAAAGTAACACAAATTACCAACAGAGCACAGCCCCCCTAAGAACTGGTATAGCGACTTAAAAATCAAATTCAGGACTCAGCTTACAAAAATAAATCTAGCCAGGTGCGGTCTGCTCATGCCTGTAATCCTAGCTTCTTTGGAGGCTAAGATCTGAGGATAGAGGTTCAAAGCCAGCCCAGGTAGGAAAGTCCATGAGACTTTTTTTTTTTTTTGGTGGGTCGTGGAGCTTGAATTCTGGGCCTGTCTGCTATCCCTTAGCTCTTCAGCTCAAGGCTAGCACTCTAATACTTGAACCATAGTGCCACTTCTGGTTTTCTGGTGATTAATTGGCCATTAGTCTCACTTTCTTGCCCAGGCTGGCTTTGAACGGGGATCCTCAGATCTCAGACTCCTTCCATGAGATTTTTTTTTTTTTTTGGTTAGTTGGTTTCCATGAGATTCTTATCTCCACTAAACCACCAGAAAACTGGCAGTGGCTCAAGTGGTAGAGCATTAGCCTTGAGCTGAAGGGCTGAGGGACAGTGCCCAGGCCCAGAGTTCAAGCCCCACTACAGACAAAAAAATCTATTTAGGACCTCCAAGTAATCAGAATTGTGAGTAGCTAATGGCCCTTGAAATCAAGACAGGCACTAAGGTTAAATATGTCACTTCCAGAAACATCTAATGTTGTGCTAACCTTTTCACAAGCCAGAGAAGCACTTCAGAAACAAGTCCAAAATTGGGTGTGCGAAAATTCTCCATAGAAATATGTCGTGGGTATCCTAGGGCCCTCATCATCTCTGTGAAATCTGTCAAGATAACAGCATGGTTAGCTCCTCATTACAGGACAGTTACTTAAAAAAAGGTATTGTTCACTTTTATGCTGGTACTGGTGCTTGAACTCAGAGGACAACTTTTTGTTTTTCGGGTTTTTTTTTTGCTGTTCCTGGAGCTTGAACTGAGGGCCTTGGCACTGCCCCGAGCTCCTCTGTGCTCAAAGCTAGTGCTCTACCACTTGAGCCACAGCACCACTTCCAGCCTTTTCTGAGTAGTTTATTGGACATAAGAGTTTCATGGACTTTCCTGCTTGGGTTGGCTTTGAACTGCAATCCTCAGATCTCAGCCTCCTGAATAGCTAGGATTATAGGCCTGTGCCACCAGCACCTGGCTTACTTTTAACAAGTAGTTAACCTCAGATATTGCCTCTGCTTTCCTTTATTGGTTCTTTGCCGCCAACAGTTTTAATGACTGCCAGAGTGAACTTAAAAATACTTAATGTGTTACCCGAAAAAAAAAAAAAGTCTAAAGTTCAATGAGAAAAGTAGATGCTATATAAGAAAATAGGATGACATTAATTTCCGGTATCTTTTGGCTTTTCCATGCAAAATAAGAACTACGCGGCATTATAAAATGTCATGAGGGAAAAAAAACTGTTAAAACAGTAGCATATGTGCTTTGGCGGCATGTATTCTAAACTGCCCGTATGTGGTAGAGGATACATTTTAAAACAAGATGAAAAACGTTTTTTCAAAGTAAAAGGTTCCAGGAATGGGAGGGATAGAGCCTCAAAAAAAAGGTAGCCGAAGCCAGGCCAGGGTGGCTCATGCTCATAATCCTGCTGCTCAGGAGGCTGGGAGCTAAGGATCGCTGTCCGAAGCCAGCCTGGACAGGGGAGTCCGAGAGACTCCGCCCTCCCCCAACCGCGAGCAAAGCCGGAAGTGGCCTGCGGCTCAGGAGAGAGCAAAACAGCTCAGGGACGGCGCACAGCGGGCCCCGAGTTCAAGACCCACAGCGGGCACACCAAGAAAGAATTTAAAAAAAGTAGCTGGAGCTACCTTCTCCCTCCAGCCCCCTCCTCGGCCAGACTCGGCCGCTTCCACGAACGTGAAGCTACCCCGGCGCGGAGGCCGCGTCCGCGTGCGGCGGCCCCGGCGGCCCCGCAGGCTCCTCAGGCTCCGCAGGCCCCGCAGGCCCCGCCGGCCGCGCAGGCCCCGCAGGCCCCGCCCGGGCGCTCAGACGCGCCTGACCAAGTCCCGGGTCTCCGCAGGACCCGAGCACACAAAGGGCGAGCCGCCTTACTGCGCAGGTCGCGGAAAGACATGGCGCTCTGGTTCCCGGGAGCCGCGGTCCCCGCCGCGTCGCGGACGCCCCAGCTTTCGCGGGCCCAGCGCTCTCGGGTTTCTATGGCAACCTGCGGAACGCCGGACGGCGAGCGGCTGGGCCAAACTTGGTGGAACGCGAAGCCGCCTCCTCACGCACGCATGCGCATAGGAAAGGAGGCCGGCCTGGGACGTTCCGACTCTAGCCCGGGCTTCGCGCCGCCACTCAACGCCTGTTTTTCAACCCCCTTGGCTGACGTTTGACACCGGTGGGCACGCGCTGAGTGCCTACAGCGTGCTGGAAGGTTTGGGTGGTACGTCCCGTAATGCTTCTCATTCTCTCGCGTCTGTAACGTCTATATACCCTCGCGAGCTCTACAGTCTCATGAAGCCCAGTCTCCCTCCCGGATCCTTGCACGGCACCGTTTCTCTCCAGCGTGGGTGTAAAAGGGGCGGTCGCCAGATCAAAGTCAAGAAGAAAAGCATCCGCAGCGAATAGTGGATGCAGGATACACACACAGTGGCGGAGAGAGCTATCCACTCGGCTTCAGCGCACGCGCACTCGGCTTGGCCCGCTCCCGCTCGGGGAGTTTCCTCCGCGAGCCTAGCGTGCCTGCGGTTGTCATGGCAACCCTGGTCCCTTCCCGCGGAGTCCCCATCAGGAACACGCCCTGGTGCCCACCGCAGAGCTCGGGTAACGAGACAAAGACCGGTTGGGAATGGAAATGAACAGAGCTCAGAAAGGTGGGCGACGAGGAAGGCTGACCCCGCCCCGGCGCAGAGGCCGCTGTGGTGAAGGCCGCCCTCTGCCGGTCCACTGTGCTATCGGCCAAGTAAAAGACTCGAACGCGAGACTTGAGACTCGTGCATCAACTGAGTGGTGCAAAGTGCACACGCAGGAATAACGAGTGTTTTGAAACTTCTATTTCTTCCTGTATGTTTAGCTTCTTACATATGCGCGCAATAAACTCACATGAAAGGCGAGCTTGCTGTATACCCAGAATGTAAAATTATTGGCTCTGAAATACGGATGCCATATGGGATTGATTATGGAACACTGAATTCAACAGTATACAAAGGAAAAGGGAACTCGGTGTGTGGAGTTCAGAGATGAGATAGAGTCATACATTGCAGCCAATCCAACAAGTGACAATGCCATCTGTAACAAAATGGCTTTGGGAATAACTGGAAACCCACAGCAAATAAGTGAACATCCACTGTTACCTGGAACAAGACACAGAAGCTAATTTTAAATGGTTCACCAGGAGCTTCCATCTGTAATCCTAGCTACTTAGGAGGCTGAGACCTGAAGATGGTGTTCCAAACCAGCCCAGGTAAAACAGTCCATGAAGTTCTTATCTCTAATCACTGAAAAGCTGGAGTAGAGCTGAAACTCAGGTGGTAGAGCACTAACCTTGAGCAACAAAATTAAGGAGCAGCCATTAGACCTTGAATTCAATACAAAAAAAAAAAAAAAACCTCAATCTGGTGCGATTGTTTTCAATGTGGATTCTCCAGTGTTTTTCCCTATGTACAGATGATGGCATCTGACAGTAGAGAAAATTAGATGATTGTGTGTGTGCACGTGTGTACACTGAACTGAAACCAGGGCCTTGTTCACTTAAAGCCCATGCTTAACACTGAATTACATCTCCAACCTGGATGATTACTAAATTGTGACATTTACATTTTCACCAGCAATATAATTTAATTCTTCCACATCCTTACAGGTACTACCCAGGATGGTGTGGGAAAACAGTTCAACAATGAAGTATCAGGTCTAGTCACAAGAACCACCTTTTCAGCATGCTCAAAGCATGCTTCAATCCCCCCCACAGATGAGGAAGCTGATATCCCCAGGGGTCATCCCAGAGAATGACTGTCCAGCTTGCCAGAGTACAATCTGTTTGGTGTGGCTTATCCTGAGTCATATAAGGAACCAGCAACTTCCTTTGCGGCCCTCATCTCACCCTGCCCTGGGTAACAACCTCTCCCAAACTAGAAGGCCTAGGAAGGACAGGATCTTCACTGTGATGTCATAAGAGTCTGTTGCCATGCGAGACCTGCAGACCCATCCCCTAGGCAGGGGAGAGCAGGGCCCTGCTGCACACAAGGCCTGGCCATTCCTGCCCAACCATACTGGCCCTCCATGGATGCCTTGGTCTGTGCGTTCTCTGAGCTGCGCATAAGAGAAGGTGCCAGGATGTGAGGAGGAGTGGCAAGAGAGAGCCCTCTTGTCCTGACCTGGGCCCAAAGCCATGGGGGTAGCTTCAGGGACATGCATGCATGCTGTGGACCTTGGGCTGGCCACTGTCTTTTTGTACCCATTGTGAAATTCTGATACTTGGACCAGAATTCCCTTCCTAGAGTAGAGGGCACTAAAGGCTGGTACAAAAGGATCAAAATCCTGAGAGGGATTTCAGAGCCAAGGTTCTAGGGTTTTTTTTGTTGTTGTTGTTGTTTTTCTGGTTGGTTGTGGGGCTTGAGCTCTGGGCTGGGCGCTGTCGCTCAGCTCTTCAGCTCAAGGCTGGCGCTCTACTACTTGAGCCACAGCACCACTTCCAGTTTTCTCATGGTTCATTAAAGATGAAGAAGCTCATATACTTTCCTGCCTGGGCTGGCTTTGAATCATGATCCTTAGATCTCAGCCTCCTGAGTAGCTAGATTACAGGTGCAAGACAACTCCTGGCAGTTCCACGCTTTTTAACTGCTGCTTGTTGATTAGAGAAGAAATGTGAGAAAGAGATGGCATAAAGGCAGGAAACAGGGCTAGGGATACAGCCCATCATACGCATTGGTCTTCAAGGCAGGTTTTGGGCTGGCTCTCTCCCTTGCAGATGCAGTCAGCTGGGTCCGAGGACACCCCAGCCACCCAGACATACCATCCAACATCTACGAAGGTGGCCTGGGGACCCAGCAGCAGCAGTGCCCCAATACCCAGGGAAGCAAGCCCAAGAACTTCCGGCTGCGTCACCTCCGAAGCCTGGCTTTTTACCTGCCAGGCCACGTGCAGCCTGCCGGCCAGTGTGAGAGCCACTGGCTGGGCCGGCTGCTGGCTGGGGGCAGCCTGCCACGGCCTGAAGGCTCAGCCTGGCCCCTGGACCTGTCCCAGGGAACTCTGGGTCCAGGTAACAGCCACTCCTCAGCCCTTCTGGAAGGCCGAAAGCCCAGGGACAACCTGGGAAATAAAGGTGAGCGCCTTTGAGGCAGGACTGGAGATCGGAGGCTAAGACCCCCAGGGACTTTCCAAATGGGCCGTTTCCCCATTTTCCAGACGTCTGTCAGGGACTAGGAAAGAACAGAGTGTTCGGGACACGTCCAAGGCGGGCGGGGAGTCATGCTCCAGGCACTAAGATCCCAATAAGTGTATCCCTGTCCCTGAGCCTCAGTTGAATGCAGGCCACGGATGTGCTCTCATCAAACTCCCAGGTGGTGAGCCAGGGCTGGGGCCAAAGCAAGAATGAGGCTCTGGGATCGATCAAGAGTTTGGGGTTCTTAGGCGGGGCGCTGGTGGCTCATGCCTGTCATCCTAGCTACTCAGGAAGCTGAGATCTGAGGATCGAGGTTCAAAGCCAGCCAGGGCAGGAAAGTCTGTTAAAACTTATCTCCAATAAACCACCAGAAAACCGGAAGTGGCACTGTGGCTCAAGTGGTAGAGGCTAGCCTTGAGCTGAAGAGCTGAGGGACAGCGCCCAGGCCCAGAGTTCAGGCCCCACAACTGACCCCAAGAAAGAGTTCAGGGTTCTTGTTCTGCTTGTGAATTTGATGAGCCGGGGCAGCTCCCTGGCTGGCGTGTTTCTCCATTCATACGATGAGGCATCCTTACAGCTGGAGCCATTCACCCTCCCCTCCACCCTTTGGCAGTTCTCGGCAAGGGAACATGCCAGCATGCCAGCCATCCCCTTGTTTTGAGGGTTTGACAGGGACTCCAAGGGGGACTGCCAGCTGCCCATGTGGCCTCCCTTTGGGTCCCTCTGGTGACTCTCCTTTCTTCTCTCTCCCCAGCTTCCAGTTCCGGCATGGACCCAGCTATGGGTGCCCCTTCCCAGCTCATTCCCCCTGAGGGCTTGGGGCTTAGGTCCAAGAGATCCTGGAGGGCCCTGGAGGAGTCCATGTGTCCCTTGTGCAAGAGAACCCGCTCTGGGGCATGTGAGAGGTCCTAGGGGTTCAGAGAGCCAGGGCTGAGGACAGCAGGGAAAGTATGGCAGAAGAGCAGGAAGAGGCAGATCCCAGAGCAAAGGCTCAGCCTCAGCAGCAGCCCTCCCCCAGGGAGATGCCACCCCACCCCCCAGCTGCCCAGCTCCGGATCTGGGCCAGCCTCAGGAAGGTGAGGGGGGAGGGAAGAGGCCCGTGGGAGGGATAGAAGACATGGAAGCGTGGCCATGCCCTCACAGCCCAGACTCCAGTCAGCCACTTGGACCCGAGAGGCCAGGAGGAGAGGCTGGCAAGTCCTCAGGTCTAATCTCAGTAAAAGCCAAGGCCTGCACCTTCTTGTCACTGATCTGTCATCACGTGAGTTTGGGAAAATAGCCCAGTGTTAGCTGGGAGTGGTGCGTATAGCACACCTGCAATCCCAGGCATGGGCTTCAGCCTGGGCTCCATTGGCATCTCGGTCTGCACTGGTCTGCAGCGGGGCGGTCCTGGCACTGCCACTGCCACCTCATCGTGGTGGCTCCATACACTGCCCAGCAACCCCAGGGCACCCACAGTGCAGTGGGTGGCGGGGTTCTGGCCTGCCTCTTAGCCCCTTGCCGGTAAGCATCAGGCTTCAGGCAAGTGCTACTCCTGCTCAGGCTGCACGTGGCGCGGCCCCTCCTTTCTCCTGAACCCCATTTCCATCACTGAGCGTTTCCTAGGTCCCCTAGGACACAGGATGCAGGAGAGCTCGACCTTGGGCGTGGGTTTGGTTTCTGGGTGGGGGACACAGCCCCAGGGGCACGAGGGGGTTGGGGACATTGCATCCAAGAGCAGTTGGGACTAGAACAGGGAGGCAGGGATGTGGTCGCCTAGTGGTCTGCACGGTAGTGCCCGCTGGGTGACAAGCAGCTGCCTTTGCCCTCATCCACTCCCATGCTTCTGGGAGTTGGAGGGCGGGACTGGAGGAGCCATGACCTGAGGCAGACATGGGAGGCTGCTGAGGAAACGGCACCCAGCACCCGGGGTTCCCACCAGCCACTGCTGCGCGGGGACGGGGGGGGGGGGGGCGGCGGGCGGGAGTGGGGTGCAGTGGGTCATCAAAGCTGTCAATACAAGATCCCTGCACTGACCGGGAGCTGACCAAACCTCAGAACACAGCACAGGCTCAGGAACAGAGCATCTACAATGGCCATCCAGTAGCCGCCCAGGTGACCCCAGATAAGCCATGTGTCCCATATTATGGCCCTCTGCAGCCCTCTCCCCTTGAATGTGGTCTGGTGCTGGGTGTTGCTTTGCAGGAAATGTGGTCAGTGACGTAGTGTTACTTCTGGGTGACAAAGAGACCTGAAGTTTCCAACACGTGTTATGGGAGGAAGTTGGTGCCCACAGTAGAAGTCAATTTTCTACTCGTGGCTGAGCTCACTGCTGGCACCCAGGGAGTTAGCCCCGCAGCTGGCCCTAGCTTTCCCTGCAGACTCCTGTCCTGACCGCTGAATTGCGAAAACATGGCTGCCAAGTAGGCTGCAGGAGTCATCTGCAGCCTGGTCCAGGCTCTTTCCCCCTGTATAATACACTTGCTGTAGAAAAGCGGCTATAAACTAGCTTGTGTGCAGACCCTCAGATCTACACAGTAAGATGTGCAAAAGCCCTGTGGAATGCTGGGTTGCTGTGTGGGGGACCACGTCGGTGGGGCCCCATCAAGCACCAATGTAAACACTGCTGCCAGCAATTTTAAACACAGTAGGTTGCCGGGTGCTGGTGGCTCACGTCTGCCATCCTATCTACTCAGGAGGCTGAGATCTGAGGTTCACAGTTCAAAGCAAGCCCGGGCAGGAAAGTCCATGAGACTCCACATAAGACTCTTATCTCCAATAAACCACCAGAAAACGAAGTGGGGCTGTGGATCAAGTGGTAGAGTGCTCACCTTGAGATGAAGAGCTCAGGGACAGCGCCCAGACCCAGAGTTCAAGACCCACGACTGACAAAAAAACAAAAAAACAAAAAAAAACACCACTAGGTGGGACACCAACCATGAGTTTGTGCTGGAGACGGAGGTCTACAAGTGTGAGGGTCTTTCTATGGGCGGCTGGGAGGTCGTCCTCAGGGGGCATATGCAGGGCCCCAGGAGAACCAATCCTCCCAGCAAGAGGTGTGCACCCTTCCCGGAGCTCAGGCTGAGACTCAGCTGCTCGTCCAGGTTGGTCTGAAGCCCCGGAATGGCGCGCTCCTCTCTGGAAGTCACACCTCCCTTCATGTGGGGACAGAAATATCTCCTGGTCCTGTTCTGTGATCTGGAAGGCTTTAGGGGGGGAGGCCTGGGGGTGCTGTAGGCAAACAGCTGAGGGGCCGGGGAGCAGGGTTTTTTTGGGGGGTGGGGACGGCTGTAGAGCTGCCCCAGGATCGCACTCCTCTGCACTAATCGCACAAGTCACCCACTGGCGGGACGCACCTTGAAACAAGCAGTGGCCAAGCAGCTTGCAGCCCGCCACGGGCCTGGCCACATGGTTTGGCAAGTGGGTGGCAGAGCAGGATGTGACCCGCTAAGGTCTGTTTATTTTGTAATGAGACGAAACACTACAATCTGTTCAACACTGGGCTGGACGCTGCAGTAGCTGATTAGGGGTAGGAAAGAGGGAAGGCAGGGCAAGGCCTCTGAGCTAGATTGTGAATGTCCAAGGAAGAACCTTCTGGAAGATTCTTCCCTGACCACAGAGTAGAAATGAAAATCACACGATCACCATTGATTTCGAGGACATGGGGCGGGGGCCTTGGCCCACAGTAACACCAGGCGGCAGCATGGCCACTGCTGGCCAGCACTGTTGCAGTTTTTTTTTTCTTTTCCTGCCAGGCCTGCCTGCCTTGTGAGGAGCCTTACCCTCTGTGAGGTCAGACGGAGGCCTGAGCTGGCTTCAGCTCCCTGGAAGCCATGAGCCGGGAGATGCTGGGGAGGGAAACTTTCAGTCCCTGATGCCCCATTTGGCCAGCTGCTCCTCCCTCTTCCTCCTCAGGCTGGTGGAGGGAGGGGCCATGCGGACCCTCTGCCAGGCTCCGGGTACACTGCAGGAGTGCTGGGCAGGACTGGCAGCAAGCGGCTTGGTGTAGAAGGGTGGGATGTTGGAGGAGTGACGTGCGCATGACTCACCCCACGGAGGGGGCGGGGAGCGGCCCACTGCCTGCGGGGGGGCCAAGCGGCTTGCAGCAGCAGCGGCACCTGCTGTGCTCACCCTCTTCTCTTCCTCCTCCCACCTGACCTGGCGAGGCCTCAGAGCTCTCTGCTCATAGAAGGGCAGGCAGAAGATCCGGGCAGCCTTGTGGGCATTGCTCAACCCAGCTCCCAGCACAGGCCAGCGGCAAGGAGCACGCCTCGCTCCCGCAGGCAGCCCCACCCCTTCGGACCACAGGAAGCAGGCAGCGCGCGGCCTTGGTAGCTAACCACCTGTGACAGGCACCAAGCTCTGGAGCTCCACGGTCTCATGAAGAGCCAGTTCCACTCTGCCCACCCCTCACTAGCCTCTTGTGGAGGAGCAGGAGCAGAGGCCTGCAGGCCTCCCACCCTGCAGGCTTCTTTGGGTGGTCTAGGATAAAGGCCTGGCATTCCTTTTACTGTACCCACTATTTTTGCAGCCTCTGTATCTTGAGTTAAGGGTGCCGCAGCACTTGTCTCTCCTCAGTCAGCTTTACAGGAAGGAGCTGCAGGCAGCGCGGTGGGAGAGGCCCGGAGCCGGACTCTCCCTAGTGAATCCAGCCACATCTGCTGGGCAACGGGGACGATGTGTGTGGAGGTGGGATCAGCGCACTGCATGGAAGAGATGTTTCCAGAAGCAGGAAGGAGCTGGGGAGCCTGTAAGGAAGATAGCATGGCAGGATGAGGACACCGTGGTTACTCAACCACCCCACTACTGGTCTATGAGCTGCAGCTGGGCCAGGGCACCCCAAAGCCCAGTCCTGCCAGTGGTCACAAGGCTTAGTCTTGGCACAAAAAAGTACATACGTGGGTGTGCACCCCAGGGTGGCCACGGGGCCTGCCATGTGAGCACAGCCCAAGCACGCAGAGATGGACTCGGGAGTCCCGAGGCCCCTCCCAATGTTCACCTGGACACACCACTGGACCTCTAACAATGCCATGTGGAGAAGCACTGGTGGCAGGGGGTGCTACAGTTGAGGTATGTGTACAATTCTGGAGCAGATATAACACATGGTCACTGGGTACGCTTGCATGAGGAGCCGAGCAGTTAGGGGACATGGATAGGAAAGATTGGACGCTTTCTGTACCTTTTCAAATTGCATTATCTAGCAAAAAAGCAATTTGGGAAATGGAGATCCAAGTTGTAGTGAGAAGCTTAAAGTATCTCTCCCCCCACGCTCCTTTGCAAAGCTTTCGGGCTGGTTGGGAAGTGCTTACGGACCACTGTCTAGGGACTTCTGTTTGTGTGGCTGGAGGTGCCAGGTTCACTGAACCCTCATGTCTGTACCTACCTGCGGGAGACAAGACCCATGCTCTGCTCCTGAGCCCGCATAGCACCTGACCTGCAGCTGGGGCAGGCCAACAGGCAGGCAGGTGGCTGTCAGCTCCTTGCAGAAGACAGCAGAGGTGACACGGACAGGAAGGTGGTCTCCACAGGGCGTAGAGGCTGCCAGGCTGGCGTCACATGATGCGGCTGTACTCAATGCCTCCCTTGGTAGAGATTCCAGACCATGGCAGGAAGCTGCAGAGCAGGCTGTGGGCCTGGCGGTAGATTCTGTGTGGGATGGAGCAGGGGCTCAGGTTGGCTAGCGCTGAGCCCAGGTGATGGATGTAGTCCGTGAGCTCTGTCAAGGAAGATGCTGCGGCCTGAGTGGAAGCGGGCTTGCCTGACCACCTGTGCCTGTGCACGGAAGCATGGCCCTGCACACACAATGGACCCATGCTAACGGGCCCAAGGGCCCACGAAACTCTCAGAGCACTATAATGCTGTATTACATGTGCCTCCAATGTGGAAGATAATGGTGGAACCTGAGAACAGGAGCTCAGTTTCAGGCTCCAGAAGAAGCAACTCTTCCTGGGTCTCCCTCAGCCTCTTAACCCTCAGCATAACAGGATGGACAGACCCCTATCCCTTCAATAGGAGGGGACTTAATGTGAGCTGGGAAGCCCACAGAATTTTGGGCCACTTCTCTGTTTCCTGTTTAATCCTCCAGAATGAATGAGTCTGAGACTCATTCACTTGAAAACACATGCAAACATGTGTAGTATCTTCCGAGTGAAACCCTGTGATTGGCCACCGGTCTCCCGCCTACCACCATGGTTTCTTTTCTCCCGTCTGTACAGTCTGCTGTATTTACTGCTGACCTCCAGCACACTTACAACTGGAGACTTTCGATCCTATTTGTTGTAGTAATGGATGGATTTGGGGCCAAGGTTTAAAACCCATCCTTCCTGCTGGGCTGATGTTGGAGAATGCCAAGTGCTTTTCTAACCAACCAGATCACATGCCTCACATAACCAGAACAGGGAGCAGCAGCACCTCTGCAGCTAGGCCATAGATCATTACCTGTAAGTGGCCTCGGCCTCAGCTCACTTGCAGCCCTTGGCCACCAGGAAGCCAAGACCTCCCACAATTCCCAGCAGTAAAGGATATAGGATGGTCCAGGGAGGGTGGCCGCCATTAATGTAGAGGACGTAGGTGAAGCCATCTTTGAGAACCCCTCGGATGGAGTAGTAATAGGGCAAGTAGTGATGCTGCTTAAAGTCTCTGTTTTCATAGAAGTTAATCGCAGTGTTGTTGGTGGTGAGGACATGCAGGTAGATGGCTTTGCAGTGGTCCTGGGCTGTGGTGGATATGTGGTCCTTTAAACTTTCAAGTAAAAGGGACCCTTGGGAGAAGAAGAAAAGGTTGTACGGAGTTAGGAGGATGCAGACCAGACTGTGACCTCTGGAGGCATCTAGGTTACTTTGTGGGCACTTCCTATTGCTAAAGCACTTAAAAGATCAAGGCTACATGGAGCTTGTAGGCTGAAGACCACTGTGGGCCACAGATGTGGCCTGGAGGTACCCTCCTGTGGGCTGGACTCACAACAGAGGTTCATCGATCTTCAACAACAGTGTAAACTGCAGCCTCAGGAGACAGGATCGGTGAGCGTGTGTTCAGAAGCAGGAGGGCTGCTCACTGCGGAACGGCTGAGTGGGATGGGAATCTGATGTCATGGTGTTTAATGAACACTAGTGAGTGCTATTTTTTAAATTTATGCTTGTTTTCAATTCTGAATCCAGAACATCTTGCCCACAGACATAACCGAGTATGTGACAAGAGGAAGGCTAAGAGTGACCTGCTCCCTCCTCATGACTGTTCTGGGAGCTGTTGCTGCTCTGTTTGTGGCAGATTTGGGAAGGAGGCTACCATGGAAAGGCCTGGGCCAGCAGGGTGGGAAATGCACGGGGAGAAGGGGCAGGAGGAGGAAACGAGCAGGGGTCCTTTAAGAGCTGGAGTTCTAAGGACAAAGGAAGTGACTGACAGGGTGAGGGGCTGGGAACTTGTCCTCCCTTACCTATGCCATGCTTTCTGAATTCTTTCACGACTCCCAGACTTAGAATATATGCAACTTGTGTGTCAACAGAGAAGCTGGAGGCTAGAATATCTCCATCCTAAAGAGAAAGAGAGGAAGTGAGGGTAATGCTTGGGACCTGCAGGCTCCCAAGACCCAAGCTGCAGGATGGGCAGCACAACTCTGCAGGCCCTCCCCCCATACAGCTCTCCAGTGGCCATGTTACCCATCCCACCACAGCAGACACACCTCTTTATGTATTTTGGTCCTGCTCTTAATTTCAGCTACTATCATTCCCACGATGGCACCTCTGTAGGTTGCAGCAAGGGAGAAGAACTTCTTGTTAGATGTGATATCACGATACCATGAGTCTGGGTACCTGGGGGAGGGAATAGACTCAGGTGAGGTACAGGATGCTTGCCCAGCTCTTAGCACAGAGGTCTTTTCAAAGCAGCCTTCTTCCTAGATATGAATGGGAATTGATGATACCAAAATGACTTGATCAAGCCGGGCACTGGTGGCTCACACCAGTTATCATAGCTCCCAGGAGGCTGAAATCTGAGGACTGGGGTTCAAAAATAGCCCAGGCAGGAAAGTCCATGAGACTCTTATCTCCAATTCACCACCAGAAAACCAGAAGTGACGCTGTGGCTCAAATGGTAGAATGCTAGCCTTGAGCTGAAGAGCTCAGGAACAGTGCCCAGACCCAGAGTTCAAGACTCATGACTGACAAAAAAAAAAAAAGCCAAAATGACTTGATCAGCCCTGACATATGAGAAGACGGAAAGAAACTCCAACCAGATTGTCTCCACAGAGCAGTCCACAGGGGGTAGCACATGGCCGCCTGCTCCTTAGCTGGATGAGCTGTGATTTTAGAACTTTGGGTGACCTTCCAACACTCAGATAACTTCCTAAAAAATTTCTATGAGGCGTTTTGCTCTGAAGACAGGGGTGGACAGGATCAGGGAGATGACCTCAAGAGCAATGTGCTCAAGAGCAACCTGCTACGGGGCTGGGAAGGTGGCTCAGTGGTAGAGTGCTTGCCTTGCATGCATGAGGCCCTGGGTTCAATTCCTCAGCACCACATAAGCAGAAAAAGCTGGAAGTGGTGCTGTGGCTCAAGTGGTAGAGCGCTAGCCTTGAGCTGAAGAGCTGAGGGACAACGCCCAGGCCCAGAGTACAAGCCCCATGACAGGCCAAAAAAAAAAAAGAACTAAAGTTTCTCATCAGATCCCTTTTGGGGAGTGTCACACGAGGAAGCAGGCAAGCTGTAAAGACGCCAGAGCCACAGTGACCTGCAGTCCACTGCCCAGTCCCTCCAGGTGCATCCTTGCTTCTGCACCATGGCCCCTTCCGGCTTCAGCAACTGCAGAGCTGTGTGTCTTCTCTCCTCTGCCCCGCCCTCCCCCGCTGCCATGGCCACGGGCAATCACTTACTCAATAGGGAACCAGTCACCACACAGATGCTTCACAGTGTCTATGTCATCGTGGCAGAGGAGGCGCAGGCTGACCTCGCTGAGGGCGCTGGATGGCACCACCTCTGTCATTCACACCTGCAGGGAGAGGAGCTAAGTGTCATCCGGTGGCTAGTTCCTCCTCCATCCACTGACCTGGGAGGTGGACAAGGTCCACCAGTGGCCTTTTGTGAAGGAATGAAGGCACAGTCGTCTCCACTCTACAGTGAAGAAGGGAAGCAGCGTGAGGCCGAGTCAGGGAAGCCTGCCTCTGGTTCCTGCCCCTCTCTGCTCTCAAGCTCCCCAACAGTCCCAGTTTCTCTCTGGCTTGTATCCGTCTCTTCACTGTGGTTCTTCTGCTGCAGGAGGTACCATGGCCTCACCCCGACTCTCCCAGTCCTGGTCTGGTGTCTGCCAAAAGCAGACAGCATGGCTCACTGGCTTCCATGCCTTGTTCTCTAAGAGCAACACGGCGGACTGGGGCTGGTGAGTGCTAGATGCTGCACGCTGCTTCACTGCCAGAGCACGAGGCACACGCAGCCTCTTCCCATCAAGCACAGACTCTGAGCAACGCCAAGGCCTCAAACCAGGTGACGACCAGTCTTCTAAGTGAAGACAGAACACAGTCCAGGCTACAAATTTCTGCCTTTTGTTTTACTCAAAGGAAGGAAGGCTGGGAAGGTGGCTCAGTGGAAGAGCGCTTGCCTCGCATGCATGAGGCCCTGGGTTTGATTCCTCAGCACCACATATGCAGAAAAAGCTGGAAGTGGCGCTGTTGCTCAAGTGGAATAGTGCTAGCCTTGAGCTGAAGAGCTGAGGGACAGCGCCCAGGCCCAGAGTTCAGGCCCCACGACCAGCAAAAAAAAAAAAAGAAAGAAAAAGAAAAAGAAAAATCAGGAAGGAAGGCCAAGTGCTAGGCTCTGACAACAGGGGAAGCAGAACTTTTTTACCTTTGAGTTGGGAATAGGTCATTAAAGGAAAAGGAGGATCTATGTGGTTGAAGAAAAGATCTTTCTACAGAAGAACAACACAAATGCCAATAAAAGCAGACATTATGATAGAATCAGGAAGTCACTGTTTTGAAAACCATCAAAGGAAATGACTAAGTCCAGCAAGAATCACGGAAGGCGCTGAAGTCAACAGGTGTGGGCAGGTGTAAGGTGAAGCATCTCGTCATCTAGGGTTCTGTGATGGCCAAGGAGAGACCGGTTACGCTGACCAATGAGAAAAAGCATAATCCCTTAAGTTCCTGCCCAGTATGGTAGGCCTGAAACCAATGTGCCTTTAGGCTTAGGTTCCTGGTTCCAGATTGTCCCCAACATATGGCAATAATGTAAATGACATCGACACACACAGACACATGACATTCTCTAGCTGATCCTTTCAAAAAGCCAGTGTTAGTAAAGATACAAAAGTAGGTGAAAGAGAATAAGGTAAAGAATAAAAACTAGGGGCTGGGAAGGTGGCTCAGTGGTAGAGGACTTGCCTTGCATGTCTGAGGCCCTGGGTTTGATTCCTCAGCACCACATAAGCAAAAAGAAAAAAGCCGGAAGTGGCGCTGTGGCTCAAGTGGTAGAGCACTAGCCTTGAGCTGAAGAGCTGAGGGACAGCGCCCAGGCCCAGAGTTCAGGCCCCATAACCGACCTCCCCCGCCCCCCCCCCCAGAGGTTTTTTTTAAAACCTCTAGCTGGGTACCAGTGGTTCACGCCTGTACATCCTACCTACTCAGGAGACTGAGATATGAGGACTGCAGTTTGAGGCCAGACCAGGCAGAGATTCTTATTTCCAATAAACTATTCAGAAAAAGCTGGAGGTGGCCCTGTGGCTCAACTGAACACTGGTCTTGAGCACAAAGAGGCTCAGGAACAGTGCCCAGGCCCGGAGTCCAAGCCCCAAGCCCAGCAAACACACACACACACACACACACACACACACACACACACACACACACAGGAACTCTATAGTGAGGCTTGACGGCAGAGGGAGGGATTCCCAGCAAGTGGCCGTCGCACGCGTCCCGAGGGTCACACATTATCCTCTACTATCCTTGGGACAGGCTTGCCCCAGTTCCACTTTCAAGAAAAACACTGAGCTCTGAGATATACAACAATTTGAAGATTCTTGCAATCCTATTAAAAGTACTGCCATGTTTCCACAAAGGCTGTTTTTTTAGAAGGCCTCATTTAACAAGAAACATCACTAACTAAGGAGAAAATGCAGTGTGGCGCAGTACTTCATGTGACCAACAAACCTGACAGGCAGCACGGGGCAGGAAGTGGGGTACAGAGATCCTGTCCCAGCCACCCTTTGCCACGGGTGGCGGGATGCGGGCCCCGGGTGTCCAGCTGGCCTATGGCCTCCCGTTAGAACAGGAGGTTTTTTGCTGATCTGCGGGCCTGGCTCTGCACTGCAGGCTGTCAGCTCCCATAGCTCACGTTCCCCCACACAGGCCGCTGCGGGCCCCTCTGTGGGGAGCAGACACAGGCTCATGACACAGAGGGATGCTTTTTCAGGTCTGGCTGTGCTAAGAGGACAAGGGAAAGAAAGTCACAGATATCCAAGCCACCTTTTGGGCACATCTCCTTAATGTGGGACAGGTTCTCTACTGTAAGCATGATGCACCGTACAGAACCCAAAGTTCATTTACATTGTGAAGTCAGATCTACGCAGGAATGCCCCTCCCTTCATGTCTCCCTAGGGGTCTGCACTCTGGTCCTTCAGAAATAAGAAAGGTAGACACAACCCTACTTCCTGGAAGCCTCTGTCCCTGAAGGCTTGACCACAGCCACAGGCCCCAACGAGTTTCCCCTCTCTTCAGAGGTGCTTCACGGTGAAAAACCAACCTGATCTGTTAATGGCTTGAGAGGTGCTCTGCTTCCACACGCCACCCTGCCCCGCCCCGCCCTTCCTTCTCCATTCACAGCCATAGCTCATCCCTGAAGGCCAGGCTGGCCCTCAATGTGCCCGCTACACTGGGTTTCGCGTGCCTCAGGCCCCCCTGGGATTTGGTGTTCCAGCACCCTGGGCCCCGAGACAGCTCCCCAGCGACTTGCTTCAACAAGCTGCTACAACATCCCTCTGAGTCACGGGGAAGGTTACATGAGACAGACACTTCCACAAGCGAGCCAGGCCAGTCCCTGGCCAGCTCCACACCCCCTTCCTCCCTGACCACGCCAGTCTTCTCTTTTGTACAAGCGTCCCTCCAATGGCTTGTAAAAACACAATACATTCTCCTCCCTCCCCTCTCGATTTCGCACTGGTGGTTTTCTTTTCTTTTTGGTGCTGGTTTTGAAGCTTGAACTCAGGACTTGGGCACTGTCCCTGAGCTTCTTTTGCTCAAAGCTAGCACTCTACCACTTGAGCCACAGCGCCACTTCTGCTGTCTTTTGTGATTAACTGGAGGTAAGTCTCATGGACTTTCCTGCCTGGGCTGGCTTTGCACTTCCATCCTCAGACCTCAGCCTCTTGAGTGGTGGCATGAGCCGCTAGCACCGGGCTGCTGTGGCGATTTTCAAGACCGCGTACAGCATCTTGCTTTATGTCTGGGATGGCCTGGACCACTATCCTCTATTTGTGTCTCCACTGTAGCTGGGATGATAGGCATATGTCACTGCTTGTTTTGGTGGTTCGTGGGGCTTGAACTCTGGGCCTGGGCGCTGTCCCTCAGCTCTTCAGCTGAAGGCTAGCGCTCTAACACCTGAGCCACAGCGCCACTTCCAGTTTTCTAGTGATTTATTGGAGTTAATGAGTCTTACAGACTTTCCTGCCCAGGCTCGTTTTGAACCACGATCCTCAGATCTCAGCCTCCTGAGTGGCTAGGATGACAGGTGTGAGCCACCAGCGCCCCACTGCCCAATTATTGAGATGAAGTTTCATAATTTTTTAAAAACTTGGTTGAGGGGCTGGGAAGGTGGCTCAGTGGTAGAGCACTTGCCTTGCATGCCTGAGGCCCTGGGTTCGATTCCTCAGCACCACATAAGCAAAATGAAAAAAGCCGGAAGTGGCGCTGTGGCTCAAGTGGTAGAGCGCTAGCCTTGAGCTGAAGAGCTGAGGGACAGCGCCCAGGCCCAGAGTTCAGGCCCCATGACTGGACCCCCCCCCCCCCAAAAAAAAAATCTTGGTTGACCTCAACCATGATTTACCAGATCTGCCTCCCAAGTAACGAGGATTATAGGGTTGAGCTACCTAGCCTGGCCTCTTACGTTCCTTTCTTACATAATATCCCTAATGTCCACTCTACTGTGCAGCTCCCTTTCTCAGGGCCTTGTCTTCCTTCATCCCACACACAACAGAGTTCTCAATCAAAGCACAAAGATTAGCACAATGTCCGCAAAGGAAATAAAGACCACAGCACCTCAGGAATGTGAGGTTTTGTAGATAAGACAGGTTTGCTGGGCACCGGTGGCTCACACCTGCCATCCTAGCTACTCAAGAGGCTGAGATCTGAGGATCGCGGTTCAAAGCCAGCCCGGGCAGGCTAGTCTGTGAGACTCTTATCTCCAATAAACCACTAGAAAACCGGAAGTGGTGCTGTGGCTCAAGCAGTAGTGCGCTCGCCTCGAGCTAAAGAGCATAGGAACAGCACCCAAGCCCAGAGTTCAAGCCCCATGACCAACAACAACAAAAAAAAAGAGGGATGAAGAGAAAAAACACAGTGGTGACAGACACAGGACACTGTCTTGTACCCCAGTGAGATGGACTGAAGGCTGAATGTCAAACGTGAGGACACAAGGGACACTCTTCCCAGCCCGGCTGCTGAAGTGCAAGCTGCCGGTGGCCGAGAGCGCCAGCTCCACACAGCCTGGGCTTCTCCCCGAACATCAATGTAGTAGGAAAATGAGTCATCTGTAGTGACAAGAAACACAAACACCCACCTATTTCTGAACAGCATACTTAAAAACCCAAGTCTTTATGCTCTGAAGGGAGCCCACAGATTGCTCACATAATAATGTGAGCTACAAACACTAAATGGTACTGGAGAATTCCAGTTGCAGGAGACTCTACCACTGGCTAAATAGATTGATGGTTCTAGCAATCACTAGCAATCAGAATGTCATCAGTGGGGAGGGGCAGAGGAGGGCTTCTGGGCTGCTTAAAGTTATATGATGTATATAAAATTATATATATATATATATATATATATATATAAAAAAATTTTTTGGGGGGGGGGGGTACGGTCGTGGGGCCTGAACTCTGGGCCTGGGCGCTGTCCCTCAGCTCTTCAGCTCAAGGCTAGCGTTCTACCACTTGAGCCACAACGCCACTTCTGGCTTTTTTCTTTTTGCTTATGTGGTGCTGAGGAATCGAACCCAGGGCCTCAGGCATGCAAGGCAAGTGCTCTACCACCGAGCCAACTTCCCAGACCTCTACCTAGTTTTTACATTGCACTACAGTTATGCAGAAGGTTAGCATTCGGGTGGGGTGGAGACACACATTAAAAAAAAAAAAAAGTAGGGCTGGGAAGGTGGCTCAGTGGTAGAGCTCTTGCCTTGCATGCATGAGGCCCTGGGTTCAATTCCTCAGCACCACATAAGCAAAAAGAAAAAAGCCGGAAGTGGCGCTGTGGCTCAAGTGGTAGAGCACTAGCCTTGAGCTGAAGAGCTGAGGGACAGCGCCCAGGCCCAGAGTTCAGGCCCCATGACCGGACCCAAAAAAAAAAAAAAAAAGTTAATTATATCTATCTATCTATATCTATCTATCTATCTACCTATCTATCTATCTATCTATATATATAAAGTGATACTGTTTCCTTTGGAAACAAAGGACTTTTTAAAGTTTGTTTTTCCTTTTTCTGATGACTCTGTATTCTTTACCTTATACACAGTGTGTTCACATGCACACCTGGGGGAGGCTGGGGGAGGGCCCAGAATCCGAGGGAAAAGGTGGCCAAGCGCAGCAGTGGGGCGCACAGCTGCCCTGGACAGTGGTACAAGCTGTGGGTGGAGATGGGAGGGAATGAGGGAACAGAGGACACCAGGCCAAAGGAAATGCGCTTATGACCTGACGCATGTAAAGGTGACCCCACTGGACATCACCTCTAAAACAACAATAAAGTATATTAGAAAAATAACTAGAAATTAAAAATATAAAGTCATATGAAGTGTACATGCAAGCTGAGTGTTTCATCTCTGACAGAAACAGTGACAAGTGGGTCTGAGGCTCCATGTTTAGCCCCAGTTTCTCCTTTGGGCTCAAAATTCCTTCCATTTTATTTTGGAAATCCCAGTCCATCATGAACTTATCAAAATTAATTATCAACACCTCCCCCCCCACACACAACAAAATGAGAAGCAGCTCTGGGTTGCAAAGATGCTATCCTGAATCATTACTAATCACAGAAACTTCTGCTTGATAGAGGAATTCCATACCAAAGAACACACTTAAGAGACACAACCTGTCTGCACAAGGAATACTCGCTCTCCACCACTCCGCTGCCCAAAGCAATTCTATTTAGAAACAGAGAACATGAAACATGCTCTGCTTTGTCAGTAGTGGGGTTTGGACTCAAAGAGTTTTGCCCTTGTCAGGGAGTCCTCTACTACTTGAGACAAACCTTTTTGCCTTGGACCACACACTTATGGCCCTCTTTGTAGCTTGGATGACAAATATGTGATACTATGTCCGGCTTATTGATTGAGATGAAATATTGCTAACTTTTTGCCTGGGTTGGTTTCCCCTTTTTCTGTTGGCAGAATTAGCGTTTGAACTCAGAGCCTTGTACTTACTAGGCAAGCACTCTACCACTTAAGCCATGCTTCCCACCCCTATTTGGTTCTTAATAACCATCCCACAAAAATAAAGCTGAAGAAAGTAGGGGCTGGGAAGGTGGCTCAGTGGAGGAGTGCTTGCCATGCATGCATGAGGCCCTGGGTTCAATTCCTCAGCACCACATAAGCAGAAAAAGCTGGAAGTGGTAACCAGCTC